TGCGAGGTCTCTGTACACTTCAGGGAAGTCATGGATCAGGTATGTTGCAACAAATGCTGCGCACAAATAGCCGCTAACCACACATAGCCCGGTGGTGGTCACGAAGTCATTCCCGATTCCGATCTCATCATTTCGCGAAAAGCCTTCAAGAATAACTCTAGCAACTACTACATCAATGGCAAAACCTCCAACTTCACTACAGTTACAACCCTCCTTCGCGACCGCGGCATCGATCTTGACCACAAGCGTTTCCTTATCCTGCAGGGTGAGGTTGAATCTATCGCCCAGATGAAGCCCAAGGCCGCCAACGAACACGATGACGGTCTTCTCGAATACCTGGAGGACATCATCGGCACTTCGAAGTACAAGGCGCCCATTGAAGAGTCTGCTACGGAGGTCGAGACTCTCAACGAAATTTGCATGGAGAAGAGCGGTCGCGTTCAACACGTTGAGAAGGAGAAGAACGGCCTCGAAGACAAGAAGAACAAGGCTATCGCATACATCCGCGACGAGAACGAGCTCACAACCAAGAAATCTGCCCTATACCAGCTCTACATTGGCGAATGCAACGACAATGTAGCCGTCACCGAGGAGGCCATCAGTCAGATGCAGGCGCAGCTCGACGACGAGTTGGAGAAGCACCATGGCGGCGAGAAGGTCATCAAGGAACTCCAAAAGTCATACTCTCGTGGAAGCAAGGAGTTCGAGGCGCAAGCAAAGGAAACCGAGGCCCTTGTTAAGGAGATGGCCAAGTTCGAGCAAGAGCGCGTCAAGTTTGACGAGAAGAAGAAGTTCCTGAACGACAAGCAGAAGAAGCTGGACAAGACCATCGCCAATGCGGAAAAGTCAGCCGCCGAAGCAGACGAGACTGTCGCCCAATGTGCCGAGGAGATTGAGACCCGTGCCCAAGAAATCGCTTCACTCGAGATTAGAGTGCAGGAAGAGGAGGCCGAACTCACCACCATCCGTGAAGGCCTCCAGGGCAAGACCCAAAAGTTCTCCGACCAGATCGCCGTCAAGCAGAAGTCATTGGAGCCGTGGAAGGAGAGAATCAACCAGAAGCAGTCAGCCATTGCTGTCGCAGAGAGCGAGATGAACATTCTCGAGGAAAAGGCCAACGCCGGTGCTGTGGCCATTTCTGAGACGGAGGCAAAGATCGCCGCCATCGAGGATGCTCGCGCTGCCAAGAATGAGGAACTCAAGGAGTGCCAGGCCGAGAAGGCCAAGCTTGAGGAGGAGAGGAAGGAGGCCGAGCACGAGTTGACTCGATTCAATGCCCACGAACCCAAGATTCGCGCCAAAGTGTCTAACGCCAGACAAAAGGCGGACGAGGCTCGCTCAAGTTTGTCTAAGACGCAGACTCAGGGCAATGTTCTCACCGCTCTGATGCGCATGCGCGAATCCGGACGTATTGACGGGTTCCACGGAAGACTGGGCAACTTGGGCGCAATCGACCAAAAGTACGATGTGGCCATCTCTACGGCCTGCGGCGCCCTTGACAACTTCGTCACCGATACTGTTGAGGCCGGTCAACAATGCATTGAGTACCTTCGAAAGACCAACTTGGGTCGTGGTAACTTTATGTGTTTGGACAAGCTGAGAGTACGAGACATGAATGCCATTCAGACTCCCGAAAATGCGCCCCGTCTCTTCGACCTGGTTAACCCCAAGGAGGAGAGATTCCGCCCAGCATTCTACCACGCCCTTCAGGATACCCTCGTGGCCAACGACCTGGCCCAGGCCAACAGAATTGCCTACGGCGCCAGGAGGTGGCGCGTGGTAACTTTGGCCGGCGAGCTGATTGACAAGTCTGGTACTATGTCCGGTGGTGGCACGACTGTCAAGCGAGGTCTGATGTCTTCGAAGCTTGTCGCTGAGACGTCCAAGGAGCAGGTCTCGAAGCTCGAGGAAGACCGCGATGTTCTCGAGGAGAAGTTTCAAGACTTCCAAGAGCAGCAGCGCGAGCTTGAGACAAGACTCCGCGAACTCAACGATCAGATTCCTATGCTCGACACCAAGATGCAGAAGATAACCCTTGAAATTGAGAGCGCGGCAAGGAACCTGGCCGATGCCCATCGTCGCATCAAGGAGCTGAGCAAAGAGCATCAACCCTCCGCTTCGGACAACAACCGCATCGCGGCTCTTCGCAAAGAGATTGCCAAGCTCAACAAGGAGGTCGAGAAGCTCCACGATGAGACATCTGGAGTTGAGGAAGAGATCAAGGCTCTGCAAGACAAGATCATGCAGGTTGGTGGTGAGAAGCTTCGCCTGCAAAAGGCCAACGTCGACTCTTTGAAGGAAGAAATCGTCTCTCAAAACGAGGAGACTTCCAACGCCGAAGTCCGCAAAGTCAAGGCCGAGAAGCAAAAGACTAAGCTTGAGAGGGATCACGCCAAGGCCACCAAGGACATTGAGGTTGCGATCCGCGATCTTGGAAAGCTCGAGCACGAGATCGAGAACCAAGGCGAGAAGGCTGAGTCCCTTCAAGGCCAAGTCGAAGAGGCCGAGGAGGGTTTGGCAGCTAAGAAACGAGAGCTGACATCCCTCAAGGCCGAGCTCGATGAAAAGACTTCGGAGTTGAATGCTACTCGGGCTAGCGAGATCGAGATGCGCAACAAACTTGAGGAAAACCAGAAGGTCCTGACTGAAAACCAGAAGAGACTCATGTACTGGAACGACAAGCTGTCTAAGCTGGTGCTTCAGAACGTAGACGACCTGACCGGAACCTCCAACCCTGCACCCAAGGCCATCCCTGCACCGGCAGCTGCCGAAGGAGAGGCCGACGCAGAAGCCGACGGTGACAAGACAGTTACCCAGGACGCTGTCACCGGCGAGGACTCCCAGCCACATGCTGAAGCCGAGGAAGAGAAAGAGGACGAAGAGTCTGACGAGTCCCAGCTGCCATCTCAGCCAAGCAGCCAAGCACTCGAGCTGCCTGTCTACACTCCAGATGAACTGGCGGACATGAGCAAGGAGAAGCTTAAGGGAGAAATTGCCGCCCTCGAAGAGAAGACACAAAACGTCAACGTCGATCTCGGTGTTCTCGCCGAATACCGCCGCCGTGTCGAGGAGCACGCCGCCCGCTCATCCGACCTTCAGACTGCCGTCAGCCAACGCGACGCTGCCAAGAAGCGCTGCGATGAGCTTCGTCGCTTGCGTCTGGAAGGCTTCATGGAGGGCTTTAGCACAATCTCTCTCCGCCTCAAGGAGATGTACCAAATGATTACCATGGGTGGTAACGCCGAGCTTGAGTTGGTCGACTCCCTCGACCCGTTCAGCGAAGGTATTCTCTTCAGCGTCATGCCTCCGAAGAAGTCGTGGAAGAATATCAGCAACCTGTCTGGTGGTGAGAAGACGCTCAGCAGTTTGGCGCTTGTCTTTGCTCTGCATCATTACAAGCCGACGCCTCTGTACGTCATGGACGAAATTGATGCTGCCTTGGATTTCAGAAACGTAAGTTTACCCCCTCGCCAATGGTTCATGTCGCTCTTCATCCATGCTAACGTTGTCACTCCCAGGTCTCAATCGTTGCCAACTACATCAAGGAGCGCACGAAGAACGCCCAGTTCATTGTCATTTCGCTCCGAAACAACATGTTCGAGCTGGCTGCCCGTCTTGTTGGTGTTTACAAGGTGAACCACATGACGAAGAGCGTGACGATCGAGAACCAGGACTACATCGTGCGGACTCGCGTGCAGGGCCAGGGCCAGGTTCAGCAAGCCACGCAGCAGACGACGATGGCGCGATGAGGAAACGTCGGAAAGGGGGAGAGGGGAGAGTCTTACGAATGATGGGTTCATTGCTATTTTGCGCGCGTTTTATGTTGATCATGTCTGTTAATATTGTCGCCCATTGGGTGGGTCCTGGGTCGGTTGTTTGTGTGTCATCGGGATAATGACTGTACGAGGGGAGGCGCATCATGGATGTAATGACTGAAAAGGAAAACTGGAGGCTTTTCTGGCTTTGTTCTACGCGTCTTGTCAGACCTGAGCGAGTTCTAATTTATCGCTTCTGTCTGTGACTACTGCAGGTGAACCCCGCTACCTTCGGTTTGTGTTGCCTTTCGCTTCTTAGGTCGTGTTGTTCAACCTGAAGTGCATGATCTTGTCTTCTCATCTACTCTTCTCTGTCACATTCTAGGAGATGGCACAAGGTTTTGGTCCAATTTCTGTTTGATAACAAGATGTGAATCATCAATATCCGCTTGGCGAGTGGTACCCATCCTGGGAGAACGTGTCGTTGACTCTCGCGAGATGGGATCATGGGCTTGTTGTCGGTCAAGATGGTGGCTGAAACGAGGGCCGTTCATCAGCCTGGCTAGTGCTGGTCCTCCTGGCAGTGAAGATGAGGACAGCGTGCGCCCAAGAGTAAAGTCTATCGAAGACATACAGTCGATTGATTAGAAGCCGTTGTGCAGCTCGACGCCATCACTTTGGTACCTACATGATCTTAACGGCGTACCGCGTCGGTCTCAGACGCGCATGCAGCTGAGAGCACGAGGAGAACGTTGCGTATCTCGGATTCGCTGAGTCCGGTGTTGGACGGTACCTAGCGAGTGGCACGATTCTGGTTCTGTCGTCGAGGTCTGGGAAGCGGTGGAATCACAGGTATATTGCTTGGCTCAGGGCTTGTGGCTTGGTGTCGCGATGGTTTCTCCCAAACTTTTACCGAGGCAGTGAACTGGGAGCTAGGTAGGATGAATGGCTTGAGGCTGGAGCTTGTCTCGGCGTTGTGGTCTACTTCGGAGATTCGGCACAGGATGTTCACCTTGCGATACGTGAGGGTATCGTGGGCCAAGTCACTACTTCTGTATAAAGGTCTCAAGACGGTAGAAATACTGTGATATTGGTGATGAGAAACCTCAACGGGACCAGGCCGGCGAAAATCGACAGCCTCCGCCCTCAACACTCGCTCAATTCCCCACTCTTCCCGTTTCCAATCTGACCATTCTCGCTTCACTTTCTGTCTTTTCGGCCTTTAGCTCAAGATCATTCTTTATCATGTTTCTCTCATCTCTCATTCTCCTCGCAGGGAGTGCGGTGCTGGTCATAGCGGACGGATGCCACGGCGATAACTTCCTCCGCGCCATGGAGCGGCATAACGGGACCATGTACTGCTCCATGCTCCTGGACTCTGGCGAGGCTACTGCAAGTCTCAGTCTACCTGATGCTATTCCGACGAGTTATCCTGCGCTCTCAGTATCATCAGCCGTAAGTTGCGCTTTACCCATACCTGTCTCATAAACGTAATGGATTGGGCATTAACGTGCTGCAGTGTTCCTGTCTTCTCTTGAGTTCCGACCCAACATCGCAAGCACCATGCCATGCAAATGCGACCGCAACACCGGCCGCCGACTACTCGACTGAAAGTGACGATCCAGGAGCAACTGACGCAGCTTCAGCAACGCTCTCCGGTACTCGAAGCATCCCAACAGCCCACGCAACGTTCGACGGCGGCTACTCTTACTCATTCCCGGGCCCAGTCCTTCCCTCCAAAACGGCGTCAACCTGCGGTTGGGGTGAAGTCACCGCCACAGTCCAAGTCACAGAGACGCAAGTTAGCACCATCTACATCTACAGCTCCGAGATCCCAAACTCAACCAGCGCGCAGAGTCTTTCGTCGGTAAGCGATGGCGACAGCGGTGATCGTCCCGGCTCGCCTCCCACGACGAAGACTATTACAGGTGAACCTAGTGGGACTGCGTCTGGTTTCGTGTCGACGGTGACGTTGATTGGGAATTCTACTTTTGGTTTGCCTACGCAGCCTGGGACGACGATTGTGTCGGCGGCGGTGCCGAGGTTGACTACAATTACCAACGGGAATTACACGACAGTCAAGACGATTTCTAGAGGCGAATCTGAGCCGAGCTCTACTCGGCCCATGGGGGGAGTTACGTCTGTTATCAACGGGGTCACGACGACTATCACTGCAGCTCCTGTTGAGTCGTCTTTGATCAGCAGTCTTACGAACACGCTTCCTGATGGAGCCTCTTCGTGGAGTCTATCTTGGGTGTCTAGCTCTACGGGTGCTTCTAGCGACCAGACATCGACCGCCACACCAATTCTCCCGTCTGCAGTCACCACTATTACCAGTCATGTTGGCGGTGTGGCATCGACTTGGGTCGTTACCCTCGGCAGAAGCACCAGTAGCGGTTCTTTCGCCAACAGCAGCACATCTACTCAAGTTCCCTCAGAAACCACATCGGGATCCTTCACTATTTTCACGAGCATCATCAACGGGGAAGCTTCGACATGGACCGTGGTAGGCGGCTCAACCCTTGTCGGCTCTCCCAACCCAACTGCGCCCGTATCGTCGCAGGGGCCTTCTGAGACTGTTGGGGTTAGCATCATCACGAGTGTCATTGGTGGAGTTGCCTCTACCTGGACAGTGATCGGAGGCTCGACTATCGGTTTCTCGTCAAATGGGAGTGCAGTCTCGACACCTTCTTCGACTCCATCTGCAACAGTGACTGGCGCATTCAGCGTTATCACCAGCGGTATTGGTGGGGTTGGCTCAACCTGGACCGTCATCGGAGGTTCAACAATTGTTAGCTCACCGACTCCAAGTGCTACCCCCTCAGTCATCACGAGCATTATCGATGGTGTTGCTTCGTCGCGGACTATTATCGGGGGTTCTACTCTCTCCGCAAACCCTGGCGAGACATCACTGACTTCAACGGTGCCTGGAGGCGCCACTGTGATTACCAGCGTAGTTGGAGGGGCTGGGTCAACCTGGATCATCATTGGAGGCTCGACTATCTTGAACCCGACAAATACCACGGTTCCAACTGCTACACCGACTACGACTGGTGGCGCTGTCGTCATCACGAGCACAATTGGAGGTATCGCCTCTTCATGGACCGTAATTGTAGGCTCAACAGTCAGCCAGGTGCCAAGTCCGACGTCTGCTCCATCTGATCTGCCACCTGGTGCGACAGTCGTAACGAGCATCATCGGAGGCGTTGCTTCTTCGTGGACAGTAATCGGAGGCTCGACCATTAGCCCTGTTCCAACCCCGACAACCGCTTCACCCGGTCTCTCACCTGGTGCCACAGTCATTACGAGTGTCATTGGAGGCATTGCCTCATCCTGGACGGTAATCGGAGGCTCGACCATCTTCGGTAGCTCGAACGCCACCGCCGGCCCTCCTGTAGCAACCCCTACACCCACGGTCTTCACAAGTGTGGTTGATGGTGCGGATTCCACCTGGACGATAATCGGGGGTTCGACCATCTTCGGTACCCTGTCGCAGGGATCTTCAAGTTTGGGAAAGCCGACAGCCGTCAGCTTGACTGGCAGCGCCACATCCGTGAGCACCCTCAATGGAACCAACCCGACAGCGGAAGAGTCTTCGTCCGCTGCTGCAACTTCACTTGCGCCGACAAGTATCTCGGCAACCTCAACCTCAAGCTACGACTCAGCTTTCACGGGAATCTCTGTCGTTGTAGCTCAGAACGCGACTTCATGCTATGCACTCCCCATCCCGACCCTTTCACTCCACGAATCTCTTCTAAACGCTACCGATCGTACACCTCCGTATATTGATGCATTCTATCTCAATGAGAGTACACACTCCGTTCAATACCTCCGTCTGATAGACAACGCCACCAACCCAGTTCTCGTCGACGTCTCCGATCCGTCAAAGCTTGGAATCGTTGACAAAGCCGGCAATGTGCTCTCCATCGACAGCGAGGGCCTGCACTTCGCCTCCGTAAATTGTTCACCCAAGATTGACGTCTTCATATCTGGTTTCTTCCAGCAACTCAATACCTTGACAAACTCTAGTTGCACAAACACCACTGATATTCCAGTCAACGGCACAAACTCAGGTCATCTCCCCGTCTTCAAGGGGACCCTGGCTGAGATGGCACAAGACGCAATCGACGTGACCCTCCATCTCAAAGACCAGTGCGGCAACCCTGCTCGCGCAGATCTGCCGGTCTCAGTAGCTCTGGGCGATACTCAATGCATCGTCTTCCCAGGTGCGACGGGAGACTTCGTCGCTAATTGTGCATTTCCTGGCAGTGGAAGCGATTCTATGGAATGCGAGACATCAGTCCAACAGACTCTAGATCACTTGACGCAGGGTTCTTTGGTGGGAAGCTGCCCACCACTCACGTCAGTCTGGAGTCTGCTCTTTCAACAACTTGGCGGTGTCATCAACGTCGACGAGCTCCTGCAACCCTTCATTGACGCTGGGCTACAATTTGGCTCTGATGCTGGCCGAGGAATTCTGGCAGTCATTGACAGCTTTATGAATCTCTATGACTTCTCGGCCGCAACCTTCAAGAACTCAAGTTCGGGCTCTGGGTCGGGGCAGGGTGATATCGTTGAGGGATACGGGGTTACTACCATCAAAACAGAAGTCTGCCGCTCCCTAATCTCAACTGAGACGTTAAACCTCACTTTCACAGCTGGAACCTCTACAACCTCCATTTCACTCGCAAACATTACAAATGTTCCTACCACGGGCTCAGAATATGAGCGCAACGTCACGGACCCGACAGCTTTGGCATGCTGCCCGAATGCATATGCGTGCGTCATCCAAGATGGAGAACGATTTTACCCCCCCGAAGCCTCGATTCCCAACTCTGATTGCCTTTGCGGTAAGACGTTGGATGGTGGCGGCATTGGGTTCCGGACGGGGAGATGCGTTGGGTATGATCAGTGCAACTCTACATCTCCGTGTGCTGGAGGTGGAGTTTGTCTGGTTGACAACTGTTGCGGCTTCAATGTCTGCCTGAATGGGACAGAGTGTTCTGCTCCCAAGGCTAGTGGGATGCGGGTGAATCTATTTGGAACGGAGACTTCTGGGGGTCTTTTCTAATTCTTCATTCGCGATCATATTTCATGTTCTCATTGAGCTTATTGATTTTGCTTGACATGTTAACCCGTCAAAGCTCATCAGTTCTATACAATGCTATGACCAAACAACAAATCTGATGTCGAGTCCATCGCGTAGGTGATCACGAATATGTCCTTGATCCGTCCGGGTTAGCAGTCACACGTGATAGCTCTTGTAGGTGGTTGTGACAATCAATTGCACTCAAACTGAGGTAGGACAACTAACTACACGCACGTCGATATAAGCTACTCTTTTGACACTCGACTGATGCGCTATTCGAGCCATCGGGTTAGCCCGCAGCCACTGTGTCTGCATGCGGTAAGACTCATGTCTCCCATGCAGCTGACGAATCTTTGACACACTGGAATGCCACATCAGCGGGCAGCGTCATTCTCCCCATCGTGCAATTAGCGAATAAAACATTAGCATTGTATGCTGATTTCTAAGCTGACAGGAAGCATACCGAAACGCGCTTTTGTCCGTTTTGCCCGGTGCGCGAGACCTTCCGCTTTATTACTACACTACCTTAGGCCAGGAGTAAGATCCTTTCGCTTGCGACCACCACGAGATAAGATTGATGAGCAATCATTTAGAAGTTCGGCGATTGAGGCGTCGCGAAAAGCGAAGGAGCGAGCTTGAGCAAAGATCTGGTCTTTTGGGGAGAATGGAGCTTGGCTCTCATGCGTGATGGTCTAGGGATATAAGGAAGATGAGCTCACTGATTTGTTCCCAAACTCTTGTTTAAAATCATCATCCAGCTACTCTAATACCAGACAACACATTACGGACTACTACCGCTGCAGTCCTACACAGTAACCTAATACATGCAAGCAAAATCGCCAAGTCTCAAACAACACATCCATATTTCATCTCCCTAGCCATGTCTAGCGATTCTCAACCAAGTCGGGCGATCCTCGTCACAGGTGCAACCGGCAAGCAAGGCGGCGCCGTGATTGATGCACTTCTGGAGTCAGAGAGCGGCAGCGCCTACAAACTCATTGCCGTTACTCGCAATGCTGCGTCTTCCAAAGCTAAAAGCCTAGTGTCGCGTGGAGCGATCGTCATTCAAGGTGATCTCAACGACGTTCCTGCTATCTTTTCCGACGCCAAAGCAGCTCTGAGCTCTTCGAACGCTGATCTTTGGGGCGTATTTAGCGTACAAGTACGTATTATAGAACCCCTGCGCTAGTCAGATTGTGATGCTAACGGATATTCAGACCGCCATTGGCAAGGGTGCATCAGCAGAACTCGAAGAAGCCCAAGGCAAGGCGCTAGTCGATGCGGCTCTATCCAACAATGTCAAATTCTTCACATACAGCTCCATCGACCGAGGCGGAGACGACTCATACGACAACTACGTTCCTAGTGTAACTCACTTCGTCAGTAAACATCGCATCGAACATCACTTAGTCAACAACGCACGCGGCAAGATGGACTGGACCATCCTTCGACCCGTAGCCTTCATGGAGAATATGGAGCCGGGAATGGGTATCAAGATCATGGCTACATCATGGAAAGTTGCAGTCAAGGAGAAACCTCTACAATTGGTTTCCGTCAAGGATGTAGGAAAAGCCGCCGCGAGGGCTTTCCTTCGCCCTCACGAATTTGCTGGCAAGCAGATTCCTTTGGCTGGTGAAGAGCTTACGCTGGAGGCTGCTAGTGCTATCTTCAAGTCTAAGAAGGGCACAGAAATCCCGGAGACATTTCAGTTCCTGGTCAGATTTTTGCATTGGATGATCCCCGAGTTTGGTGCCATGTATAGATGGTTTTACACCGATGGCTTTGGGGTCGATATCGTGGCCTCGAAGCGAGACAACCCTGGAATGCTGGATTTTGGCTCTTGGATAGAGGAACAATACGATCAGGATGGAAAGCGTGCCTGAATTAGGGCTAGAAATATAGGGGTTAAGGTTTATCGCCGAGGAGAAGAAAAAGGAAAGAGTCTGTTTTGTGCAAGTAGACGTAATTAGAAGACGCGCCTTGATGATTCCGAGATGGATTGGTGCATGGCTTGATTGTCGAATAGGGTGGAGGGAAAAGTAATATCAACTTAGTTGGACTTCATAGCATTAAAGAGAAGCTGAAGTGCTTTTTTGTTTTCAAGATGGACTGAAACATAACCTCCTAAAATAAGCACCTGCGTAAAACTAGTTCTCGCCCTCGAAATCTGAAGCATCCAAAGTCCTCTGTTCTAATATTCGCCCCACATGAGTCTTGTCAATTGACTCGCAGTTTCTCCGTATCTTCATCAGCAAGACTTTCATGAACTGCATCAGAGACTCCCGATCAATGATTTGACTTGGCTGGCTCTTACCCTCGGCGTTTGAGCCCTCCGATTCCAAGGCAAGAAACCGCCGTAAGTCGCGGTACTCATCCATTGATTTGACATAAAGCTGACCCGAGAATAAGTTGATCTCAGTGACAAGTCGAAGAGGGGGCTTCTGAGGAAGCCGTCGATGCGGAATAGTGAAGAGATTCAGATCATCCAAAGGACGAAATCCCAAATTTGGTCGTGGCGCATAGACACGGAGCGAAACAAAGCGGGAAAGTTGTATATGTGACATGAGTTCTTGCGCTTCGTGCGGGCTAATGATGATTGCAGTGTCGATCGCACTAGCCCTCGTGAGAATCCACTGGACAGATCTTTGAAATAGATCCGACCCATACATGTAGCCTTTGCCAAGCGGGATTATTGTTCGAGCAAAGTCTGCAGTTACCAAGAATCCATGTTGCTGTGAAAGCCTGTTGACATCGTAATGTTGAGCGGCGCTGGTCTCTGACAGGGATTGGAAAGCAAACATGAATGCTGCCGAATGTTGATTGAGCACACCGCTGGTCACGAACGCGCGGAGATCTGGGTGTATGTAATGTTCCGCAGGTGAAGCAGGGAGGGCTTTTTGAACTTCCCTCTCCTGCTCGACTTCTGGCGAGAGCTCCCGCTCTTGTTCCTCTCGAAATGTCGCAGCCTCTGCGCTGCGACGGTCAAACTGGAGCAGCCTTTCGGTAATTGCATCGCCAGCGCCATCGTCATCCATTGAGTCGGCTGATGATTGATGACCTGGTCGATATCGAGTCTCGAGATTCTGAGCCTCATCCTCGAGGAATCTCTCTGCGTGATCATCGGTGAGATTCGTTGATCCGTCTACCACGCATTCGTCCCACAAGACTCGATGTTGCTGGTATCGACGACCTTGGTTTGCCCACAACCAAATACCTCGCTCCATATCCACGAGCGTCTCGGATATGGACCACTCTAGAATGTGAGCCACTTCTATCGAAGATTCGTCGACTTTTGATTGCGTAGCAATCTTGTGCTTGATCTCATCCGACACACAGAAAACAACTGACTGGCCCTTGCCCAGCTTTCTCATTCGCATACAGGCTTACAAGAATTGTCAGTGAACACCCAAACGATTGAACGCAACGCTGACTCACCTTGTACTAATCTGTCTTTGGTCAAGTTTGCTCCTAATGTCACTGCTGCCCGATAGCCAGCCGGAAGTTTCAAATCTGTCCCTCTTGTATGAGCCTCGTCAAGGAATACAAGACAGACATCCGTCTGAGTGGCGAATGGGGAAGTTTGAAAGCTTTCTACCCGACCCTTACGATCCACAGCACATATGTTGTCGTGCTCGTCGCAAAAGATAACAGCTTGTGTCGTCTCGTTATCTTCAGTCATCTCAAGCCATCTCTGTGCAACCTCAAAATTTTCTAGCTCCAAAATTTGAGCGCCAACGTCGAGAATTACTCGTGCGGGGGGTTCCAATCCGACAACGATCTCCAAGAGCGTTTCGGCATCGGACTTGGATGTGTTCTTCTTGTCCGCTGCTGGGATCATCGCCACTGAATTCTCGTCCTGAAGTAGATACTCGAGAACCAAAGCATTTGTGTGCTTTTGATCAGGTAGGTCTACCTGCTTGACGCTTAATGGCAAGAAGGCTCTCGAGTCGTTCGTTCCGCTAAAACCAGTTGTGGCATTCGCCGTCCTCTCTCCTATGTCCCATCCTGAGGCAGATAACCTGTGCGGAAATTCCTTCATTTCCTTGGGGAATACAAGGTGTTGAAGAAAGTAGTCAATGACAGCTTTGGCATGTCTCAGACATGGAAATACATGTTTAACGCATTGTGGACGATCTTCCAAGTTGACACCAGGCAGTTGATGGAATGAGTGAGGGAGTCGATAGCTGTCTTGTACCCAGACACGGTACTCCATGTCAGCCTGATCCGAAAGAAAAAGATGCTCAAAACTCAAGAAAAGATCGGAATCGGTCATGCCGCCATAATAATAGCTCAAAGACGTCAGAGTGATGACGACATCTGGATGACTGAACTCAGAGCGGGCGCTTGGGTTGTCTTTTGCTCGGTATGGTACCGATAGCTGTGTACTTGGTCGTCTATTGTGATCCAGGCCGAAATGAACTCTCCAACGCTTTTGACAAAAGACGAAGCTGAGAATCTGGCCGGCAATGAGTCCCCGTAAGAGGAGAAGGCTATTTTGCGTAGTCGGCGACCAGATGTCGGACTTCTCTACCGCGTCAACTTCAACCTGTGTGAGGGTCGTCTTGGAGATGTAGGTGTAAACTGCTTGTTGAATCGAGGCAGGCTGTGTTCCCATCGGAAGTCCACTCAAACCAGCCTCGCTAAGGTGACGGGCCAAAGGATCAAGCAAAGTAGCCTTCGCACCGTCGTCCAAAATTCGCGTTGGCGGGAAGCAGCCAGCCCTTTCTCGACCAATTTCGAACGAGCTAGGGAATTCTTCTTGGACGCCTGGCAGGAGTTTCCGCATGACTTCAAGGACCTGATGTATGCACATCCATCGCTCTGGGCTGTGCTCAACTGGTCGTTGGGTACCCATGGTATAGACTAACTCGAACTTCACATTGAAGTTCTCGTCGCTTTCATCCACTATGTCGCGGGTAAATCTGTCAAGAAAATCCTTGGAACTGGCGAGCATTCGACTGACGCTCACATTCCCGGCAATGGCGGTCTCAATTGCCATAAGCTTGAACGACAGAATGTGTTCTGGTTGGACTAATAGAACCCCTCCAACGTCCATGCACTCCTCAAAGATATGGCGAATAGCACTTGCTTCCGCAGGCCCGACCTTGACGGCCCTGGAAAATGGCATATGGAAAATGCGTCTTTGAAGTAGGCCCCCAAGCTTCGAGTCAAGCATTTCGAGCATTTGCTTCGATTGGGGCCTTGCCACAATAACTCGAACGAGTCGCGTTCCGTCCGCAAGCGCCGCTGCCACGATAGGCACAATAACTGATGACTTTCCTTCGCCCATGTTCAGTTGCATGACGGCATTCTCGTCGTCGGGCGGACTTCTCATGCTTGCCGCGATCTCTTCCTGCACCTCCCTGACTATGAGGCCGCTCTCGACCTCTAGCAGCAGAGTGTCTGGGTACTTGAATGGGGACCAGTTCGTGTGGCCGGGGTTGCGGAGCTCATTCGCCAAGGCAGCTGGGTCTTTGAAGCAACCTAGCATCCGCTTCGCTCGTTGGAACTGAGACAGTGCTATGCCGAAGTGCGTTAATGCCATTTTCCAAGCTGCTGGCGTGAAAACAAGGTTTGAATGATTGAGTCTCTGAAGAAGAGCCGAGGTCGAGATTCTCGGGTACGCGTAAAAGTCGGGCAAAATGCTAGGGAATCTTGAAGGATCCGATCCTTCAGCGCCGAGGAGACAGCCCACAACGAGGTCGTATGTTTCCTGGATGGTTGCTTGCCAGCCGTGAAGGTAGGAAACCAGCAGCTCCGCAGTTTCTTCGGGTGATTGGCGATCGTGATCTTCCGATAGCTGATGACGCTCTAAAGCCTTCATGCTTGAAATCAATGCCTTGACGTAACCCCTCTCGTACTGGCCGGTCTCAGGTTGACCCAGTCGCGAAAGCAATGCGGGCAATCTATAAACTCTCTTGGAACGCTTGCAAACTGCCTTTTGATCCAGAATCGGTAATTCTTCGCTCTGCGGAGGCGGTGAGGAGTTCCTTAAAATAGAAGCTTCTGTCAGAAACCGAGGCTGAATGGTTAAGGGCCAATCTGGTGTTGCTAGCAATGGCTTTGCTAGTTCCAGTGGTTTGACGGCAGTCGGCAAGGAGCAAGCGATCTCTCGAAGATATTTTCGAAATTGAAGGTTGTCGTACCAAATTTTGAAATGTGCCCTGATCCTCACCATCGCGCTATCGACGCGTATATATGTGCGCCAATTGGTCTTCTTTTCATAGCCGGAAGACAGAGTCGGGACGCGGCAGGGCCACTGGGCCGTGATTGTGTCGAGAAAGCCTCGCAAAGCCCCCTCCCTATTCCTTAAAAATTCGATCTCTCGCCTTCTCAAGAATGAATTCTCTTCTTCGTTCGCCAGCTGCTGCATATGCATTTCGGGACAGCAATCGAAAGGCTGGAACTCGGCCTTGGCCTCATTGCTCACTGTTGAGCCCACGAAGCTGGTGCCATTTGAGAGATGAAAGTCATCTGCCCCAGGTGCTGAAAGCTTGTGGATAGTAGTGCTCGTTCTGAACGAAGCCAGAGTCTGGATAACCGCAAAGTCTACACACTCTGCGAAGGCAATTGTTGCCAGCCAAGTTATGAGCTTATATTTGTTGCAGGTCTTCAATGTGGACTGTAGCGTAGTCCAATGCTCTGTGATGAAACGAGAGGGATCCAGCAGGAATTCGGCATTGTATGTGATGTCTGTTATTGGACAAGGTGAATGCGGGCCAAGGACAACAAATGTATCTGAAAGAAACTTCCAGAGATAAGTTTCCATGGAGTCTGGTAATGGCATAGACAGGATCGGCTGATCACAAAGAACCAATTTGGATGCTGAATATGCCCAAAATCCTTGCGATGAGCCCAGTCGATCCCTTGGCTCGTAAAAAGTATCGTGGTCAACGGTATAGCACTCGGCGCCGAATCCTGATACCCGAAACATTGCCGTTCGGATGTTGTCCCGCGCGAGAAGTCGAGAATCCATGGGTTCCAACTCAGGTGACCCGACATACTGTAGCGGTGAAAAGAACTTCGATCGAGTATTTTGCTCGAAGATTGCCTCGACGTATTCGCGGTATAGACCGTGTTGCGATAAAAAGCCGAGTTGCGGGTTCCAGTCAACCTGTTGCATGACCCTTTCATGGGAAGGATAGTAGCCTCTGCCAGGAGCCAGGTGACAAATCTCAGTTAACAGCTTGGCGTTCTCTGTTGTCAGCACATCGAAAGACCTGATTGATGCTGAGCTGAGAATTGACAGAGCCTCTTCGGTACCCGTTCGATGCGTAAGTGGATCCGGAATGGCAAAAGACGTCAAGGCGTGCAAGTAACAAAGGAACAACTTGCTTTGTCGACTGCCATTGCTGACGAGCCTATTCAGCACGATGTCCACTTCGTAGGCATGAACTCTTGATGCAAATCCCTTGCTAACTGTGACCTCAATATGTCCATCCTCTTTCAAAAAAGAAAGATTCCCCTCGAGGACTAAAATCTTGCGCTCGACAGGGAGAGCGGGGTGTGGGGGTTTGTTGACCCTGAGTACCAGCTTGTCCTTGAGGCCGACCAGAGTTCCGACTGCCTGATTTGGGTCTACCGACATGCCTCGATACTGTCTTGACATTATTGAAACTTCCCCTCGCTTGAGTCCAAACTCAAGCATAGCGCGAGGCAGTTCTATGGACACCATTGCAGTATCCACTAGGTGAATGACGTGGATCGAAAATGGATCTTCCAACGGCTTCAGAATCTTTGAGATGAGCTTTGCAGAGCGGCTGTTGATGTTGACTAGGCACGATCCAGTACGCTGTAGCTTCCAAGTTCCCTTGTATTCATCTCTCAGCAGCTTCCAATTGGAAATTGTATGCTTCCAGGGCTTTTCGACGTCGCAGAACTCGACACAACCGTTTTCGTAGTCGTACCATTGAACGAAGTCGTTGACAAACTTAGTTGGGAATAGTCCTTCAAAACAACTCTTCGGGACAAGTTCGAACTCCTTTTGACCCTTCATTGCATTCACTAAAAGATTTCCCTCGCTGCCAAGGCCCAAATTGACAGCATGGCCAGCGTAATGTCGCTTTGAGGAGAATGTCATCCCAGGTTTCGCTGTCGGCAAAATTTCAAGGGAGAACCGCCCAAAAAGACTTTGATACGTCACGTGGGTGAGATATTCCGGAGGCAAATGATCTAGAGGTAGGCCGTTGACAAGGAGCTCGCCAGTGATGAGGTTGAGTTGTACAAACAGGTGACTGGTTGTGGCTGCAGTGAGACTGGTCAACCACGAGCTGTGTGTCGCAGAGACGATCTTCCACTCATGACTGGGCTCGTAGCTTGACCAATTTGCACTGATTGCATGGTCAATCCCAGCGCTACTGCCTGACAAAATTTTCTTCCCTAGATAGCTGTGGTGGAGGTAGGAGGTTCGTTGCCAACGACTGTAAAGGTGATGGACAAATGCGCCCAGAGATCCAAGTAATATCTGGCCCTCTTGAATAGCAATGCAACACTGCAAGAATGTCGAGACGGCAGAGTTTTCGTAAAAAAGGTCATGCTGAAAGTGCTCGTCCATGTTAAAGGTGTCTGCGCAAATTAACAGGACCTCGAACGCCCGGCGTTGAAAATCCAGTTTTTCTTTGTCGTGGGCGTCTTGAGCCTTTTCCCGCAGCTTCTGCGCCCAGCGAAATGTTATGCCTCTCACCTGAGATAGTATTCCGAAGCATTGTTTCTGGATACCGTCGAATGGAGTCAGGCTCAAAAGACGTCGAGTTACGGCTGTGAAAGCTGCCAGCGCAGATGACGACTGCCAATTCTCCTCATAGCGGGCAATGGCTTCGGCCAATCCGCCAAGCAGCTTGTTTCCAAATCTTTCGTCTTGACAAATCGTGTGTGCCCTTCTATACTCTGAGTTGTCACCCGGTCCTGCTTGATGGATGCATTGAAGAATGACCATGGCGGTCTCCCGCTTCTTGAAATCGACCGAAGGAGCGAAGAGTTGCAACAAGATGTTGATCCACTGCAAATTGTATCCCAGTGGAATCGAAGCTAGAGCTCGGTATTCCTCAAGTGACATATCATGAGGACACTCGTGAAGTGTCGCGATGACAGTGTTGGGCGTTGGGCCGTTGGGGCACATTGATGGCCGGAAGAGGAACTTTTGCAAAGCCATCGACGCCGCCGGCAACTCGTAAGTGCATAGCTGAGGAATAATCTCCGATGGTCCGAATGACCGCATGAAGCAATGTCTACGATGATCGTAATATGCGTAATGCAATCCGTTGCTTAAACAGACTTGCTTTTCGGTGGCGGTTGCAATATCCATGCCCTTCCGGTGCGTGACCGTATGTGGCTTGGCCTCGGAAAGCAGGCTGATAAAGTGTGGCGTGAGTCGTTCTTGAAAGAATCCGAACAACCCAGGATATCTCTCTAAGGAGCAAGAATAGCCTTGCACCTTTTCACCCATTTGCGGCGTAACTTTCAAAACTCCAAATAGGAAGAATACGGTCGCTTCACGCCATTGTCCAAACGACACCGGCACCAAAAGCTCAAAGACCACTGACTTCGCTTCAAGATCTCGCCTTGGCAACGGCCATTCATGAATATCGATTCGCAGGCTGTTGGCTTGACTAAGATAAGAATGACGGGAGCAGCCATTGCTGTGACGTTTATCAAGTCTCCCCGTCCACCTGTCAAACACATTGTCATAATCGCAAATGCTGGCGTGATATTTGCGCATGAGGTTGTTGTACTTTTCTTTCTTCTCGTTAAATTCTTTCATTTTCTTCTCTCTATCTTGTCGCGCTTTCGACTCAATTTTCTCCTTTAGGCGCTGATGTTCGCTGGACATCTCAAAATGACGAACCGGAAAACAGTGTCGAGAGCCATAGGTGTAATAGATGCTAGGGGCGGATGCCACTGTCTTGCAGTTTTGATTGCGATCGAGGAGATACTTCTCAGCGTCATGAAGTCTCTTCATCTGGCCTTTGAGCGGAAGAAGCAAGTTCTGTAGAACGCCCGTAGGGACCTCGGGGTTGTAGTCTCTCAGCATCGGGAACAAGTATATAGCAGCTTTGTCACAAGCGATCCATAGTTCCAATATTGTCAGGAGCATAACGGAAACTGACTCGGGGTTCCCAGCGTAAGCTTTGCTGGCGGTAGTGTGATACTCTTCAATGATGCTTCGTATCTTGGCGCATGACCCATCGTAACCTTTGTTGGCCTCGCGTTGTAGCCAAGCCTGTAAATGGCGTTCAACCCATATTTCGAAGACGCTGAGATGCAAATGCAAATGCTCCTTGTCTGGTATTTGCACAGTTGAAGGGAAGGTTTCCGAGTTGTACTTGACCAAAGTCCAAGAGGGAATAAAGTCGAGACCTTCCGAGTGACATCTTCGACTGTCGATAGATGCCAGGAAACTATCAAGAACTGGTAGATGCATGTGCGAGTCTTCATCGAAATCCAACGTTTTGAGATCAGCTAATTCTGTGGCTAGACTAAGCGAGTCTCGCTGTTGGATGCGATCCCAGCGTTTCGCAAGAAGCTGGTTAGACCGTAACATCGCCTGGTGCACACGATCAACAATGGCAGGAATGCGGCCGCTTGAAATCTTCCGCATTCGCCTAGAAAGTTTCGACACCATGACGAGGATGAGATCTGATGGGGTTTCAATGTTCGAGTCGATGCTGTGGCGAAGTACCCTGGCCATGAAAAAAATCATGAACATCTTGTAAAGATTCGTGCCATTGAGACTGCGGCCAAATGCCAGTTGTAAACTCACTCTGACGAGCAACCAAGTCGGGGAACGACGCCATGGAAGAAGAGCATGGCTCCAGTTGACTTCTTCCCGGGTATTTTTCCAGATCCTGGTGCCGTCAAGAGGTTTTCCAATAGCTTGAAAAGACGAAAATAGCAGCTCGGTGACAATTTTTGGACTTGTGGTGTCGCGCTTCTCCTGATGAAGATGCCCAGCTTTCTTTGCTAGTGGTTGGGTTCCTGGCGCGGGCTGGGAGCTCATCGTCGACAAAGCCGCAGTAAGCGCCTCCTGGCACCCCTGTTGGCTGACCTTCTCTAGATCTATGGATATTCCAGTTCCGGGGAAGGTCCTTCGAAGGCGACCCAAGGTTGACATAACTGCCTCATTGGTTGGAGACAGCTCAAACGCCTCCATATGCAGTGCATCGTGGGTCTTAGTGATGAGTACACCAGCATTCTGGGCCCTGACATTGAGAGGAATGATGTCTTCGACAATGTCATTAGCCTTCCATGCTTACTGCCACGAACTATTTCAAGAGAACATACCATTTACGGCCATACTCATTAAACGTTCGAGGAGGCTGTGCTGATCAATGGCAACCGTGTCTCCCAGAGGCCGATGAACGCACATCATGGCTTCCATCAGGCCAATGGCGATCCTCACGGAAGCCTTTTGGCTACTGGGGACGTGCTCGTAGAAATCGGCAACAGAATCTTTGACGAATTGGACCAAAGCGCTCTCATTTTCCGGGCTAAAATCATCGGCTTGGGGCAGTTGAGGTGGCAGAAAAACATGCTGGATAATGTATAGGTCCGTATGGTTGGTCATTTTGTTGTTCTCAACGAGGAACTAACTGGTACGAGTCCTGTGTGAAATGGTTATGATCTCAGATTTGACAAGATTGGTTGAATGGAGCTTGGAATTGAAAGCTGAATTATTTAGAGTCTGAGGGCATTCTTTTGTAAGAAGCGCCAAGTGTAGAATATTTCCCCCAGTCCCGTTCTAAAATCCATTAGCCATCTCGAAATCAACCGACCGGGCTCCCCAGCAATGTCGTCAAATAACACTCTGCCTCGAAACTCTCTCTCAGGAGACAAAATGGTTCACAATGGGATGAAATAGAGTTCAGAGATAGAGTCTGAACAGTTGGGAAACAAGCTCGCGGTCAGGCAGGACAGGTTCTGGTAGACTGAAAGAATGATATTAGTCTTCCGCATGATATGATACATCCGACAAACAACAGGTTTGGACAGCCTTGGGTGGCAGTCTAGAGCGCCCTCACCATTTTAAGGTCGAAGAGACTGTTTGAAACATATAAAACTTAATGCGGGGGGCCCTCCTGCGGAAATGTAAATCAGGCAGCATGCGCGGGTTGATTGGCAGCACCGTAAAGTCAATCTCCAGCTAGTGCTTCCTGTTCACATGCCCGGCGTTCTCGTCCACTTGCCGAGAGATGCGAAGTCCGGGACACGCCAAAACACCATAGTAGGCCTCAACTATGTTATCAGAAATTATGTGAGGTATCCGTGTCTCTCGTCATCGGTTTTCGAAGCTTGGAATATCAACCTAAAAACACGAGATTGATCATAGTTCTCTAGGATTGTCACTTTCTTCCTCAAAGGTAAACCCACGTGCAGATTTTATTGTACCAAGATAGGGTATTACTCCGCTTTATGTACCTTTTGATTTGGAAATCATGGGAGATTATACCGTCAAACCTTGGACCTTGAGAAAGCATTACTACATATGCTGGAGGCCAGACATACGGTCTAATCATATTTCGGGAAGTGACTTGTGTCGACACTGACCACAGCTGGATGATCTAGCATTGTACGGGCATTCAAAATCAATCTCGATAGACAAGTAGACAGCATATACAAAAGGAAGTCGTGCCCGCCCTTAAAAGGGTGTTTTAGCACTCTGAGATATTCTTCGGAACCCTGATAAGTACCCCGTTCTGCCTATCCACAGCAGACCCAGAAACTGTAATCTAGCTTTTCGTCGACCTTGGTAGACTAACGATGGTTCCTTACCATCCAAGTCTGGCACCGTCAAGGTTGAAGAACTTGGGAGTATAGACGGCATACACATACGTGATATGATGTCAACGGCCGACGCTCTGTCATAAGGATATGAAAGTCGGAACGAGGACGGCCCTACATCACAATCCCACATTCACTCATGTGACCTTGGTAATTCAATGAATTCCTTCTCCCCTGACGCATCTTGGTGGAGTTGATCATTGTCGACTCTGATGGTCGCTCAAGATTCTGTTTCCTTGGAGAATACATGTACCTCAATGTACTTAAGAATATCGGCCATTCGCGGAAATGAGTCATTAGAGTCAATGGAAGATATAACATAACACAATGCGGTACAAGCCAGCTATGAAAAGGCTCCTGAAAGGATTTGCAGATGCGGTCACCTTGTGGGTTACGTCTTCGGGTTGTTTCAGCCTCATAGGTATTCAGGGGTACGAAGACATTCATGACTGCGAAACATGTGTCACTGCAATGCCATGTGATTTCAAGACCTCAATAAAAAACTTGAGGAGGCGTGGGACTAGGCTCGGTATGCATAAGACAGCCGGCTTTATGTTTATGTTCGAAGCTGGGAGGGCGTGGTACCCGCATATCACGAAGAACATGTGTTTATTTCATTCAGGCAGGTTGAATATGACTCAATTCGAAAACACTATATAGAGTGCAAAAATTCGTACACGCCCATATCCAATCCCGGGTTCAGATACGCGAGTCTTACGGAGCAACTATAGAGGACCCAATCGAGATATTTGCTTTTTCTTAGCATCCTGAGTAGAGATCGTGAGACCACATGGCCTCAACTTCATCTGCTCACCTAGCGACAAAGAATTTAAGTCGCCCTTTCGCTTCTTTCCCTCTCACCTTCCTTCATCTCATTCACAAACCACCCGTAAATATTTTTATTTTCACTTCAACGCACAATCAATCCTTCCAGTTTTCACTTCCCCAACCATCGCCGTCACAACCCTGGCGGCTTTTTCACCATACCAGGACATCTCATCAGCAGCAGCGCGACGCGAACCAGTCGACATTCAACCTTCGGACTCTCCGTCTACCACGACGACTTCCATGGAGCCACACGCGCAACCAAAACACCACGGCACGAGCCAGGCCCTCGGGCTCTAACTCTCGTCTGACTCTGCGGGAAATCCTCGAGGAAGAGCAGTCATATCTTGCCGCCTGCAATAAGCGACCAGCCGCCGGCTGGCCGCTGAAAAAATACAATGACCTGACGGCGTCCGAAAAGGAAATCTCCGACCGGTGGATGGCAAGATTCTACGAGTGTCAACATTGGGGCAAGCTCGATACGGCGGAAGCGAGAGAGACTGCGACTCTGCGAGAGCCAAGCTGTGGGAGCTGGTATTTTCTACCTGGGACACAGACAGCTCTGTACCGCAACCGGCACGTCTCGTCGCCAGAAAGACAACGGATAGCATATTCAAGATTGGGATGCTGACAGAGGACGTCAAGCCTTCCAAGAAGCGAAATGCCGATGGCTCGAGTGTCCCGGCGCCTGCTTTACGTCCCCATGGACCGCGTTTCCGCGGCGCCGACGTCTTTATCAAGGCCAACATCAACTGGGCAATTGAAGACCTGGGTTTCAGCTTGTGCGACACTAGAGATGCAAACTTTGCCTCCGACATCAAGTTTGAGTGGACGCATGGCTACTATACCGGCTTTGCCATGGTAGAATGCGCAAAAGGTTGGGATCGTGACGAACTCCGCTGAATGTGTCTGGTCAATACCCACCTCATGGTTTACCCCACTGGACTAGGAACGAGCTGCTGTACTCCCTCAAGAACAACTTGGAAGGCCGTGACGAAGCGAGCCTTGCCGAGGCTCGTACTATTTTACTATGGCCCTACTTCCCTACGTGATCGACAAGACGCCCGACAACGCGAATAAACTATTGACAAGCGTGAAGCTCTGAGCCGATATTTAGGGGAAAAGCGTGGAATCTCGCTTGGGCGCTCAGCGCATCGTCACTGCCCATGATCCCGAGGGCTACTTTAGCTTGTGGGAGTTAATGAGTTCGGTTCTAGTTACAAACTTTCAACTAACATATTTCCAGACTAGCCTCTCATTCACTCATTGCCGTCATAGCCTATCGGGGCCCATCTAGGACCGAATGGTACGAGAAGCGAGCTACATGTGGAACGCGGGGATACGGTTGCTCTTTTTGCGCTCTCTCGTGTTGCTCCGGAAGATTCGTTTGCCTTTTGCTATTTCCCGTCAAAGAGGAGTTGATTTCTCTTCCCTACCTTGGCAGCATTCCGTTTGTATACTAGTCTACAGTGGAGAATCTAGAGGGTTCGGGAACTACTTTTGAGAAAGGGCCGATCGCAATGTTTCTCTTGCTTTTAGAACTCAATCCATGATAATCGTCGTCCATCTTCATTAAGCGATTTTGCGATGCAGAAAACTCAACTCTGCCGGGGTGGCAGCAATGATTTTGAGGCCTCACGGCTTTCCACTTGACCCGTAGTTAGATGCCCTCCACAAAGAGGCCCCCGAAAATAAAGCTAGCCCCTGATTGAATCTGTCTTCTTTGTTACAGACAAGCAGCTCGAAGGTCCACATTCCAGATGCTCCACGCCGCTGGTAGTCGTGAGTACCAAAACGTTATCAACATTGGATCCTTCCGAATCCTTCGGGGCCCTCCATGGGCGCCGGGCCGGATCCGATGGTTTCGGATTTACAAGGTAACTTTTGTGTGATAATCCCGATCCGGGTCGGCTTTGGCCTGCGCCGGCCCAAAAAAGTTGCGCATTCCCGACCCGCTGCCGGATCAAGCCAAGACTTTGGGTCGATCGCTCAGTTGGAGCCTGCTCTGTGGCTTCAGGCAATGCAAAGCCTTGCGCGGTCATGCCTGAAAGTTGGGGCTGTAGTTCTCAAGACGGTATTCCAAACTTACGAGGGAGGACAGACTTAGTAGATACATAAGTCGCCCGGTGCAGCGATGAGAGAGACTGGGTCATTATATAGACTCAATCTTCGGGATTTCGTGAGGCAGGAGCAATGCAGTTCAACATCGCAGCACCGGAAAATTCAGCCAAGAACCAGATTCAATCTCCCGCGTTACGCTAGAGCTGCCAAGGTTGATCCCGATTCTAGTACCTTATCCATAATCCATAATGTTGAATCGCAACATGAACCAGCTTTTTCCACCCAAGCCAGCTTTCACAGACCAGAATCTGTCGGACCAAGCAGAAAGAGTGCGCCCTGCTATACCACAGACCCTCAACATCGGAAGTTAACAAAACTCAGGTCTTTATTATTACAGGCGGGGCATCCGGCATTGGATTAGAACTTTGCAAGATCCTCTACGCAGCCAACGCAACGATATATATCGCAACACGTTCGAGTGAGAAGATAGCCACGGCGATCAAAACCATCAAGACCCTACACCCCTCAAGCAATGGCCAACTCGAGCCACTCATCCTCGACCTCGCAGATCTGAAAACAATCAAGCCAGCAGTCGAAAATTTCCTTACCAAAGAGACGAGACTGGATGTACTAGTACACAACGCCGGCGTCATGATGCCGCCTCAAGGCAGCAAAACCGCCCAGGGCCACGAATTACAGATCGGCACAAACGCGCTTGGCCCGTATCTCCTAACGCGGTGCCTGGGGGAGAGATTACAGGCTACCGCTCGGCTCGAAGCGATGCCGAGAGGAAGCGTAAGAGTTGTCTGGGTCGCGAGTATGATATCGCTTGGAGCACCCAAAGGTGGTGTCATCTGGGATGACGCTAAGGGTGCGCCAAAGCTGTCTGGAGATTCTATGAGCGATTACATGCAGGGCAAAGTCGGCTGCATTTTTCTTGCGGATGAGTTTGCAAGGCGAGTGGAAGCAGATGGCATCATCTCTACGGTAAGTTTGGTTCTCAACCCATCCCGCTCGACCACGGGCAACGATGGCTGACTTGAAGAACAGAGCGTGAATCCAGGACTAGTCAAGACAGAGTTGCAAAGACACGCTCCCGCAGCAATGAGGGTCTTAATGGTATGTGCAATATCTGACATTGAGGTTTTCGTCACAAAGCTAATCGGGTTCAAGGGTGTCGTTTTCAAAGGGCCTAAATACGGCGCTTATAGCGAGCTCTTTGCAGCTTGTTCACCAGATGTCTCCGCAGAGAAGTCTGGTTCGTACATTATCCCGTGGGGAAGATTCGGGTGTATCCCGGAAGACATCGCCGAGGGAATGAAGCCGGGATCAAGCGGGGAGAAGTCTCTAGGAAAGAAGTTTTGGGACTGGTGTGAGAGGGAAACCTTGTCTTATCCATGAGAGGAGTTGAGTACATGTAGCGTTGATGACATATATAATCCACAATCAACTCCTTTGTTTTCTTTGCATTACTTTGACAGTCTTTCGACGTTGATCGGCTCTGTCTTTGCAGTAGGTGATAAGATCAAGACCTACTCTCCGTCACTGTAAGGCAAGCAGCATTACTGTTCTTTTCCCTAGCAAAACATGCCCTAGGCATATTATCTATGTAACATGCATCAAAAGATGTTAGATAGGTGATAGAATGCCTTCTCCAACCACTCTGTCCAACTCCTACATGTATAGTAGGTCTAATAGTCTATACAAAGACCTGACTCCTGCAAAGAAGGCCACACCAGAGATATGGGTGGAACCATTTATAGATTGCATCCGGATGCCCGAATTTGACGATGGAGAGGAGCTCAATGAGTCAAGTACATCAAGCGACTGTAGGAGCTCGTCTTTTCGCGCTGGGATATCAACACGGCAGTTCGCCTCCCAGCGCCAGAGGCAAAAAGACAAGCCGGCGAGTCGACGAGACAGGTTGATATCTTGACAGAGGATGCGAGCGTGTCTTCGCCAATAAACAAAAGACAAATCTGGGATAGTGGCGCCACAGAGGAGCGCACATCTTCCATGAAGTCAACATTAACTAGCAGGTCAGTGACTAAATGTTCCATTTCGTCGATGTCAAGGGATCTACCTTTTAGGCTAGCATTCAATATAACCCATGAGAGAACCTCTAAGTCAACCACGCAAAGCGATCGATCGCCGGGACACAACAGAGTTTGAGCGGATCGGAAAGGTAAACGCCAATCTTATGGCAAATGCCAGTCTCATCATATACTGGTGCCGGAATGCACTCTTGAAGTCTCTCCGCTATAAGTGAGACTTCTAGGAACCGATGCCAGCCTCGCCGCAACCCGGATGCGTGGAAGAAAGAACCCAGCTCGCAGGGCTGGGCAGCATGGGGTGATAATCGACGAGAACCAGGCCGAGTTCTCGAAGCTTATGCACATCGACTTCTGCAAACACGTCTAGAGCGCGATGATGCGGGAGATGATGGGCTTTATATAGGAGTATCAGAAGGGAGTTCACGGAGGGGCAACTAAAGCATAAATACTATTCATTATAACTACTAGTAGTCAGTGAAAGAACAGCCTACCACTTAAACAAGCCTGACTCCGAGCCATACTGCCCGTGCTGCTACTTTTCCTCGTCGTGTTATATCCAGTGAAGAATAGATGCGAAGCACCTAGGCAAGATAGTCCTATTAACGAGCATAGTAGAGATAAGACATCGGGGGGAAATTATATCGCAATCGACGAAATTTCATGTCACCCACTTGCTAGGGCTCTAGATTAAAGATGCTTTCCTGCCCCCCATCTCATCACCGTGGGGGTGGGACTTGCTCGCGAGAAGTCTTACTAAAGTCAAGTTGGACGAGATCCGAATATGCCGACGTTCAGTACATACACCCCTTGTATCTGCTAAAAACTCCTGTGCGGAGTACCATATGGTGTGAAGATACAACTCCATAGTCTGCAGCAAGAAATCAATGCTTTTCGTATTTTCATTGCTCGCTAGGCATCATAGGTATGTACGGAATAATATGTCCATGAAGTTTCCACACGGCTGCTGCCACCCCATTAGGAATGTCAATGTTCTCTCCTTTCTTGCTCCTCTAGCAAGTAGTCGCTCCGTTGCCGGTGAATGAGCCGGATTGATAGGCGCCGCTGGCATCATCAAGACATTCAGCTAATAACCACGTTAGTTGCGAATCCCAATAGTTAATCAGAAGATTTTACTCACCAACAGTAACCAGCTTCAGGTTGTTCGACTTCGCCCAGTTGATCAACCACGGCGTCAAAGTCTGCACCGTGGTGGCGTAGGTCTCGTGCATGAGAGGAATATGTCCGTTGCCGCTCGCGCCGGCAGCGGTAAACTTGGCCTCGCTCTGCGCAGGCGTCTGCCCGTTCCAGTCGCCCGAGTCAACGTCGTCCGTAATGACCTTGTACCCCAGCGTCTTCATCGTCGAGAGCACGGATCCGCCGGTGGCGAGGTATGGCGGGCGCATATAGGCAGGCTTCTTGCCGATGATATTGACCATTGCTTGCTCGAGCTTCTGCATCTCGGTCGTGAGCTGCGCCGTGGTCAGGCTTCCAAAGGTCGAAGGGTGAGTCCAGGTATGCGAGGCAATCTGGTGGCCGGAGTCAAAGGCCTTCTTGACGGCGGTGCGCTGGTTGTAGATGCAGCCGTACAGGGTGCCCGTCATGAAGAAAGTAGCCTTTGCGCCGCCGTTGTTGAGGATGTCGACGAGCTGCGAGGTGTATTGGTACGGGCCGTCGTCATAGGCGAGAGCGAAGACGCCGGACTTGGCGCACTTTTGGATCACGACGCCTGCGCTAGGGGCGCGCTTGATGAGTTCTATGGGGTTCTCGATGGGGATGGCAGCCGCGCTGGCGGCCATCAGGAGACCGGTGACGATGGTGTCGAGAAGCATGATGGGCGAATCGGGACGTTCGTTGAAGAGGGTAGAGTATTGAAGGAACTGGTGATGGGTGTGGACACCAAGCTTTCGGAAACAGGAATGACCTGGCCGGAAAACCGTCTATATATGCTTATTTGGCGCGCTGGACAGACGATGATGAGCCCACACGAACCACTTCAATCTCGTCACGACTAGAGGACGAAAAAGACGGGAAACCCTCCTTTGTGGGGTTATTGAACATGGGGTGAACGGCCGGATGCGACCTCTTCGGGAGTTCGCTTCGTGGCTCGAGGCGAACCTTGCTTCTCACAGGGGCAAGATTTAAGAGTACCACGGCGCGAGGCCGGCAGTGAGGGGCCTCTAGGGGCTCGATTCGACTACATCAGGTCAAGAGCAATCTAGATGAGTGTGCGGAAGGGGACGGGGTGACAGCATTGATTGAGCAGTCTCATTTAGGCTCTTCTCCTGGTCGCGGGGTGCTTAATCTGGAACGGAGGGTGACGGTCAAAAGGGAGAATTTTTGGCGGGGATCTAATGTCCACCCCGGTCGGGTTGACTGCGGGTATATCAGGGCGGCTGCTATTCAGACGACGATGGTTTCTCCGCATATTGAAGGGAACCAGACTTTTCAGCTCTTTGGATGCCGGGAAAGACGTCCACGTGCGTTCTTTGCGCGGATGAATCGGCATAGCGGCAATAAGTATGCCAAGGATGAGATCTTCCGGAACTTGGGGAAGAGGTGCATCTCTGGGGAAGAAGTGATTCTTAACCAAAGGAAGTTGGTGATGTTGCACTACGACTAATTGTACCGGCTAAAAGTTGCGATCCAAATGCTGAGCTAACGCGCCTACAAGACACCGGCCAATCAAAGATGGCGACTTATCAAAAATGAGGCGATCTCAGCTGATCAATGGCGCCCTTCGCGTGTCAGACCTGAACATTCACATCGCGGCGGCTGCGGAAGCTTGTATTTTTTTTCATTCGTATTCACTTTCGCCATTGACAGAAGATATAGCCGATATTCGACTTCGGTCAACAGCATCGTCATAGCTCTACATCTGTAGATTCGACTGGACGTAACCGAGCACCAGACTTTTCGCTCAACATGGACGTCGAGTGTCAATGCGGCACGGTTACGTTCAAGACCCCAGCACCAGAGCCACTCGATATCTACTGCTGCCACTGCTTGCAGTGCCGCAAGCAATCCGCTTCAACATTCGGTACATCGGCAATCTTCCCCGCCAATGGCCTCTTCCCTCTCTCGGGGGATCTCAAATCAAAGCTCCAAGTCTGGACTCGTCCTACAAAGAGCGGCGGGTACATGGATTGCTACTTCTGCCGGCTATGCGGGACCCGGGTCTTCCATCGCACTCACAATGAGAAGGGAGTACCTAATTCGACGGTCAGTATCAAAGGGGGGTTGATCTCGGGACTCGAGATGGATAGTGGAAAGCATATCTGGACGAGCGGCGCGGTCATGAAGGTTCCCGATGGTGCCGAGAAGTACGACGAATCTCCGCCTGCAACGCCCCACAGCAAGGGTTCAAAGGCTTAGGAAACCTCAAGGTATGAGTATTTGTTGGCAGTCCTCATTCGACTTTGTAAAGACGCTCACCTGCTCGGATAGAGAATGTCCTTGGATCTAGGGTACACAGCGTATTGGCTGCTGGTTTAATCGTCTTGTCGTTGGGAATAGATTGGACGTGACACAAACCGAGTGCCGTGCAATATCATTCATGCACGCCCCTGTTAGTGATCCTTTGATTGCCTGTCCTTCATCTTCTTACTCTCGGCCATCACTTGAGAGTGGGCGTCAGGGTGCCTTTCCACGTTGATGGCAAAGGCCGCAGCCAATTTTGTTACTAGGCGACCTTCGGAGACAAGAAGCAGAAGTCCAGAGTCTTTCCGACCACACAGCAGAAGGCCAATAGTGCAACATATTCATGTATTTGCTTTCAAGGCATCGCGGAGACAAATCAACGCAGTTTAAGGCTTAAAAGAAAATACGATAAAGAACTGAATAAACAGGCAACCAAGTGACTATCCTTGATGAGGAGGTCGAGGTACTGGACGAGGAGGTTGAGGTACTGGACGAGGAGTCTGAAGTACTGGACGAGAAACTTGAGCTGCTGGGCAAAAAGCTCAAACTGGTGGTAGTCGGCAGGCTTGGAGTTGTAATGGATGAAGTGGAGGATAGACTGTTTGTTAGCGAGGTGCTTGAAGAAGTGTCAGACATGCTCGCCGAAAATGATGATGTCTCGGCAGTTGTAAAATTGGAAAAGCGCATCGAGGTGGAAGATCTTGATTCTGCCATCGCAGAAGTCTGGGTGAGCAAGGTCGTTGTTGATGACGGCGAGGGGGACAACGAGAGTGATGAGGACGGCGGAGGCAACAAGAACGAGGAAGGTGACGGGGGCGTTGACGATGGTGATAGTGTCGATGGCGAAAAGCATGAAGGGTCGTGTCCGATAATGTAGAAGAGTCTTGAACTAACCCGCTCGACATACTTGGGGTGGAACGACTGGTGACGCTGGCTGAGACTCCCATCGAATTTGCACTTGCTACAGTCGATGTCGCGATACCCTGACTAGACAAGCCAGGAAGTTGTATTTAGCCATTCCGACACAGATCAACTATTCCACGAGTGTTAGCTTCCGGGCCCGCAAAGTAGTGAAGCCATGAACTTTACCTTTGTATGCTAAGAGAGATACCGTCTCTCAATCAGGCGGACGGGACGTAAAGGCAACGTGGACCCGTCCAGTGGTATCCTGACAGAAGCCTGCCGGGTTACTAGGGAGGGATGGATGATAAAATCGAAGAGCCCCCTCGAAAACGTCGAATGTGGTTGTGATGGCGTTGTTCGGTGGCGTCCCCATAGCAATGATAGGTTTGAAGTTCTCACCTGGGGAGTAATGCACTGGAACGCCGCCGTCGAGTAGTTGGCCAGCGACCAAGAAAAACACCGTTGCGGTGTCGCATCTTTGACGATTTGCATTGGTGTTTTGGTTCACAAATCCGCCCGGCATTCTTTTCTGCAGATTTCGTCTAATATTAGTAGGCGGACCTGGAGCAACGAAGAGGATCACAGGTTGAACAACTTGCGCAGACGTTGATGTAGAGGGACCAGAGCTAGTGGTGGTGGTCGGGACTTGTCTGTTCGAGGTCAGACTGGCAGACTAAGATGTGGTTAATGGAATGGATGAAGTATCAGATCCAGCGGCTGACAACGAGGAAGGATCTGAGGACGAAGTAGGTTTTGTCAACGGTGTTGCCGTTGTAGCAGTCTGTTGAGCAGATCGTGATACTGACAGGCCAGTGGCTGAGAGTGAAGTGCCGAGAGAGGAGGTGGGCGTTCCGGAAAGCCGAAAGGTGGGATTTGTGGAAAGATTGATGTTTGTTTCCGTTGACAAGGGTGCATCAGCGGATGAAGTCGAGTTCGTTGTTGTCTCGAGCCCTGTCGGACCAGCCGTGATCGTCGTAAGCTCCAGATAAGTCGAGGTACCTGAAGCACCACGTCGCTGGCGAATCACCCTCATGGTCGAAGGGCGACACAGACGCTGAAACTATCTGTGGTAGGAAGGACAGAACTTTAGTATAGAACGAGGATTCATGATGGCAATGATGATGGTGAGGATGGGGATGACGTGTGAAGTAAGTTATGGAACAGCGAAAGCTCGTCAACACAACAGCAAGCAGACAACTTTATTCCCAGATACATATACATCAAGGTCTAACGGTGAGGTGCAGAATCCAATAAAGGGTCGCTCGTGTTTGAAACAATCAGAACAATGAGAAGATGCTCCATAATATTAAAACAAGATATCACATCTTATTCCAACGAGACATTAACTCTTATTCAAACGAGACATGAAACCTCAGCATTTAAACCATGGACTGATTATAATTGGGAAAATACTGGGTTAGAACGCTATGAAACGTGAAGCGCGATGTAGGTATGCAGCTAGATCGAGAATAGCCTCACAAAACGCCACGATGTTGGGCTGAGGTGGTTGACACCCCGCCATCGCGGCTGAATCTGGAATGTCCACTGAAATAAAAGTTCAGATTTCAGCCCGCCACGAGGCGGCTCCCACACTGGTTCGGTGCAAACGTCGTCGAGTCTAGGGGCTGTGTAAGGTAAGCAATATTAAACAAGAGACACACACATTCGTTAGTAGGTTCGCCACTATACGTATTCCCCAAGCCAGTCTGTCAAGTCTGATTACCGTCCTCTCACTACTCGTACAAAGATAAACTGTTTTTTATTTCTCAGCCATCATTGAACTCGGACGCCTCAACTTAGCAACAGACGACATCTTTCTTCGTTCTTCTCCACATTGATCATCATTACAACAATGGAATCCTCCCGAACGACTGTCCTTGCGTGTCGTACTGCGACTATCGTCCAGTGCTTCACCCAACAGCCATTAGCTCCGTTGTGCGGGAGCTGCATGCCGACTCCTGTTGTCCACCTACCAGCCGGCACGAGACAACCCATCACCGTTCAAGTACAGGCTCCAAATTGCAACAGATGCGGATGCGATACTTGCGTGCATACAGTCTCGTAAACAACCGAATATGATGCTTTCTATTCCCCAGGCCTCATCCAGCAAGTGTATGCTGTCACGGAGACATATCGTGGGATGGCTTCGAAACCTACTGTGGCATCTACCGATGTCCCTTTCGGGTTTACGAAAGAGGTCCAAACTTGCACGACGTGTGGTCCAACTCCGGTCGTCGCAACAATTACACGTCCAGTGTCAGAGGTGGTGCAGGATATCAGGGCGTTTGGCGTGATCACCATACCCGCTGGCATAGACCCTCAATACTCTCTGTTCAGCATGACCGATTTCCCAAGCGCAGCACCGCCATTGGAGTCTACACATGTTGCGGCAGCCCAACACCGTCAATGATTGGTTTTGCGGTCCGGCTCGGCCCCCGTCGAAAATCTGCCTCTGAGCAAAGACACGTCCCTGACAGCGAGCCTTCACGGAACAGTGACGGTGCACGAATCGCATCCAGAAAAGACTCCAGCTGTGAAACGCTTAGTTCGAGGTTACTGTCCCAGGTTCCCACAATCACTTCACGTGAGTATTATACCTAACTTGCCGTAATTATCTTCTCGATGAGGCTGACAGGCAGAGTAGTTCCCATTGCAAATGTAGTGAGCGGTTCCACAATACAGCACGGCCCAGTCTTCGGTTAGAAGTTTATGATAGTTGCTGGACTAGCCCTCATGAAAGCTCTTATGGGATGAGGCACACACACATGCGATAAGCAGACTGGGAATTGTACCAGCCTTTGGCTATGGGTGAGCAATATCAGGTAGTCTGAAGATGTCATCTGAGCAGAAAGGCGGTTTGACATGTGTCCTTTCATTTAGATCCAGAATGAAATAAGACTGCTACTTGATGTAAATTTAATTATAATTGCTCGAGTGTGCTCAAAGACCTATAGGAATGCACAGTTTACACTAATAACAAGTCCCAGTACTTCCTGTTCGTCACGCGAAACGGCTCTGCAGGCAGAAACTCAGCCCTTGCTATCTAATGGCTTGGAATGCGACTTCTGCGGGGTTACCCCTTTTAGCAATCAAGTCACAGATCTCATCTGTACTTTAAAACAAGCTTCAATAAATGGAATGATGAGGCTGAGACCACGGGTACCTTTCCTGATTGTTCCACCGCAAATCCGACGTTGCACAGCCTGAATGCTCCAAGAGAAAGTCGATGATATCAATACAAGTCACTGTCGTAGAAATGACTCGACGTGTCTTTTTGGTCATCATTACTAGTACTTCAAACCAAGGTCTCTCTTCATCATCATCCATCCGCACTCAACATGTATAACCTAGTATATGTACATGAAGCTCAATATTGTACACGAGAGTAAGAACGACTTTTGGACATATCATGTTCCCCTTCAAAACGATGGACAGCAATGCCACCGAGGGGCCCAGGTTTTGTGACTTGTCATAGTCTACCTAAGTAATGAGGACATGGCATCTTTCTTAGGCACGACGAGACTGGGAGCGCTGGCCAATGCTGCGCTTAGCGCTCATCATCTTGACGCTCTCGTCGTAGTCGGAGGTCCCTTTGTTGGGATCGGCGTCCTTCTATAATGACATTAGCCCCTATTCCCCGATTTTGTCTCAGCAGAACATAGGGAAACTTACCGCGTTCTCGGCGCCACACTTGGAACCAGCATTGTATTTCCCGTCAGGTCCATCGACACCAGCAAACTCGCGCTTGCTGTTCGCCTTGAGCATGTTGGTAGCAGCCTCGGGCAACCACCCATTGATAAAGTCACCGTGCGAGCAAAATGAGTTACCGCACGCAAGCTCAAAAGGCGGCGTGCCATTCCATCCGTCAGGAAGCACCTTGCGGAGATCGTAGCGGATCGAGAACCGAAGCTGCGGCTGGCGCTTCATGCCCTCGGGGCACCGGTTCGCGGGCTTGAAGCCGTCCTTCCAGTTCTGGGTGCCTGAGTAGGCCGACTCGAGCGTCTGCTCGTTGACGCAGTCGTGGAAGAGAAGGAGGGTCTGCAAGTGCGTGGAGCACGTCTTTGTCGGCCAGGCCGCGACGTCTTTGCCCTCTTCGGCGGGGTCGCCTTCGCAGAACCATTGAATGCCGGCGAGGTCCTCGACGTCGGCTTGTGTTGTGCCCTTGGAATTTCCGGCGACGGTTTTGTAGTTTTGGGGGATGGCGACCTCGGCGCTTTCGATGGCGACATAGTAGGCGCTGAAGCGGGAGAAGGGGACGGGAGTCATGCCGGTGTCATTTTTGACATACAGAGTTGGGACCCCTTTCGCGCCCAAGTCAGCTAAAGAACGTCTCATGGTAGAAGAACTGGCTATCACTTCCAGTTCACCCAAAAGCTGGGCTTGAGCTTACAGTAAGAAGAATAGTCATTGGGGTTCTCGGCAGTTGAGCAACCTGCCTGGAGCTCGGCAGAGGTGTTCGTGTTGAGAGTGACGGCGTCTGAGCCAAAGAAGGTGTGCATGTGGCTCTTGTACTGGCCCGGAATGACGACGGGATCGATGTTCTTGCGCATGAAGGGCTCGGCCACAGCAATGGTGTATGCGTTGGCGATGCCAGCACCGGCAAGCAGGAGAGAAGTAGTAGGAAGCATCTTGAATCGGCCTTTGGCGAAGAAGAAGAGAAGTAGATGGAAACGAATGAAAATCAGCAAACCTGTCAAAGAGAGAGACACGGATTTGGGACTGAACAAAGGAAGGACAAGCTCGAGTCAAAGCACGAAATAAAAAAGTCTTCCACCAAAGGAGATCATCGGCGTTTCTTTAGTATTAACCACCTCTACTCCCTCGAGCCGCCCGATCTCAACGTTTGTTCATCCCATCGCTGCCGCCTCCGCCGTCCCTGCAGACCCACCTTACATCCCGGGGGCTATCGATCCCAAGAAGCTCTATCTTTCAAGGGTGAGGATGCACCTATTCTGCGGGTTCGGGCAGCTGAAACACAGTGACCGGCTGGGCTGCGAACTACGGCTGCCTTCAGCGAATTGAAGGGCTATTTAGATGCGGTAGCGCGACTGGGATGGGGACAGTACAGGCGTCGCACGACCATGACTTTAATTTCGATTCGAAACGTGCGTGACAGGGTGATAGGCATGCCGATTTAGTCTTAGGCCTTGTCACGCTGTCAGCAATGAGGGCCAACCGCTGCACGGAGCCATCCAGCTTCCTGGTTTGCATCAATGGACAAAGTAGAACGGCATGTCGGACATTGTGCCGTCTTATCAAGTTTGTTTTATGGTTGGTGGCAATGAGCGTAACTCAGAATGTAAGTAACTTTGTTTCCACTGCCGACAAGTTTGGTTTTTAGACTCCAACGGGGGCAATCAACTGCTGACACCGACAACTGTTAAGCTGTTCGGACCTCGTTCGTGCCCCCTTACCTCGGAATCGAGCCATAACGACACTGCGTGTAGCATCACGCTGCACAGGGTTCATAGTAAAGACTTACCTTAGGCCCAGTCTGAGAGAGAGGCCTTCGGTATACCCCTTGGTACTTAATGAACCACAATACGTACTGATACTCATTTTGGGAAGAATTTCTTCATAGGAAAATCCACAATACGTGAACCCGAAGGTATGCCAGTAGTTCGGTCTCGCTCCTCAGAAGGAGCCGGTAATCTTAAGATTGGTAGCGCACGTCTTTTGGACAGGGGAGAGCCCCTGTATCGCAGAGTCAAGCCCTGTAACCTCCACTACACTACATACGTACGTGTACAGGAGGACTACTGGGTTCTCTCCTTTGCGCCGTTCTCCTCCTTATGTTAACAGGAATCAATATACGCCAGGTCAGCTCCATTGGTAGATTTTTCAACGTCACAAATTTACAGAGTTTTCTCCGATTATCGTAGCCAAGATGTCTGAGTTAGGTGAGATATTTCACAGTCCGTGAGAGATACGCATCACACGTTTCTTCCCGGAGCACTAAATCGGGCCGCCTTCTCGCTGAGAGGGCCACAGAACTCTCCATGTGAGATACCCGTAGTGGATGCATGGAAGACTTGCACAGGGAATTTCTGCTCACAGACTTGTTCCGTCACTCGATGACAAGTATGTGAGCGTCATTTAAACAACCATTCTCCTTTTCTCTGGTTCCAATGGACATCCCTGCGCAGTGGAGGAATGGGCCAATCTGTCTGACGTTTGACAGGTCTCCATCCACATCAATCCCACGCAGGGTCAACCTAGACGGTCTACCGCATGACGTAGATGTTGATTCTAGGAGTGTGATTTCCGAACCTTTTTCAGCATTCATGCAACCTTGTTCGTATGAGTTCAATATCGGTAGAGCCCATTAGACCTGCATGCTTTATGTACAATGCATTCAGCCGTCTCTCCATTTCCGCGATGATCACAATGCTTATTAACCCATCAAATATATTAGCAGCTCATGGCTTCTTTTCAAGGTGATCGACATACACGACAACGACAATAAGCATTCAGGACCAGATACAGCCCTCAGGATACAGGCTATTATCTATGAGCTATCCACACTGGTAGACAGGCGTCTCAGTGTTCCAGTACGCATACAAGTTCTTATTCCCCTTCCGGTCAATCTTGCCTTGGCGGCGGCGTTCCTCCTTCTGCACCTTTTCCTCGTTCCTGTGCTGCACCACCAGTAGTGAGCGCTGCTGTGACGCGGACAAGTGCATCAGGGCACTTCGATCGTTCGCTCTCATGTTTGCCAGCTCATGGATAACCAATGCTCTCTCTCGCTTTTCTCTTTTCGACAGGGTTTGTGTCTGATCTGTGTGTAGCTGGTCCTCACTGGACTCCTCTTTTTCGGACTCTACCCGGGCATATTCCAGCTGTGAAGGTGGGGACCGGATTCGACGTCGTAGGTTGTTGATAGATGGTCCCGTTTGTTCCGAGGACCGCTTGGATATGATCTTGCCTGACGGCAACCGAAGGAAGTCCTCATCACCCTGTAACGGCTGTCGACTTGGGCTTGCTGGCACATTTTGCGCATCGCACTCTTCTTCGCCACTCTCAAAGTCATCTGCGCTCTCTTCCTTGTATTCCGCTTCAGATAGAGTGAAGTCGTAGAAATCGGTGAATTCGGAGTCTTGTTCTGCTGGATCAAACCTGCAGTGACCCTTGCCGATCATGTGCTGCTGTACGGCTTGTACCGTTGTCCTCTCTGTCCCGCAGTGCAGACATTCCCGGTAATCGAATATGACTAGGTGCAGGTACTTGAAGAGAGTTTCCAGGTCGACGACTAGATTTTGCCGGTGTGGGATGAACAGGCCGTGCGACTTTTGCATATGGGCTACACTGGCATGGAAGCTTGGCAAGAGATTGGGGCAGAAAAGGCACTGCCCAGGAGTAAATGATTGCATGGCCGCGTCGTGGGAATCCAAAGATGCTTGTGAGGAAGTCGTTGTGACAATGCTCTTCTGTTTCAAGAGCGAGTCCGTTGAATTTAAAAGCGGCGTGGTTGTTGCTGTGTTCGTTGCCGTAGTTGCACCCGGCATTTGTTAGAGGTAGTCGGTAGTGTGGAGGGGCTTCCGGTCTAAGTTGTAGAAAGTGGCGGGGGGAAATCCTGTAGTTCTAATGAAGAATCGAAGTTCTGTTGTTGACTGAATTAAGGAACAGACTGATTTCTTCAGTATACTGTCTAGGGTTATATAATGACATGCGACGACAGAAACTCAAGGTATTGAGACTACCTCGACCAGACGGCTCTGCGAGCACCAACAGCTCTCAAGACCGTCGAGAAGTCTAAGCCGCTAGACTAAGCCCATATAGGCCTCGCATGCGCGCCATGATTGACCGTTCCACTATAACTCTGGGACTCTGCCAATGAATATCGCTGGCGAGGTATGATTCATAATGAACGATGCAGCCACATTCAGTGTTCTACCAATCAGCTATGCGTTGACTCATCCAAGAACATGAGACAAACGCAGAATATCGGGGACCCTGAAACCTTTCTTTCTCTCTTCTCGCATGCTGACATGCGACTCAACTGAGCATTGTCATTAGAAGACTGAGAAGTCAAGAGCCGCGACAGGCCGAGAGTAGCCGAGAGTCTGGAGAAGAGATACCCCCCCACTGCACTCAACTCATATCCAGCACAAGCAACACAAAGACCATTACTACTGTCACAAGCTGAGAGGTGCTGCTTAGAGCCATCAGTGCATCTGGTATTGAATACATTCATTTCCCCTATGTGATTGTCTCTTCGATGGAGTTGGAACAGTGCGGAACACCAATTATCGTCCACATTGACCAGCGACAATCTGGCTGGACAGCTCATTGGGTGGGATTTCCAATCCACAGCGACCATTTGCGGAGCAAGTTCCTTTGAAGGTCCCATCAGTGCAGGCCTGACCTGCGACGCCACCACCCTTCTTTTGGGGAGCTTTCGGCAGCAATGTTAGCACGCAGTTGCAATTAGAGATCTCGCAGCAAAGAACAGGAGAACTTACATGCAAAGGCAGAGGCAGTCAGCCCCAAGATCAAGATAGCGGCGTTGGCGAAGAACTCCATTTTGATGTGCGTTGACGAAGTGAATGATTGAATTATGTGTTTCGTCAGGGACCGTAATAAGCACTCAGGGAGCAGAGCAAAAGGAAGTCGAAATGATTGGGTAAGAGAGTTGCGAATCCAGCGCGAGTTAATAGATATGCTTGATGAATTGTTAACCTAAACGGCTTTAACGCTTGAGATGTACTCTGCTATTTAACCAACTTTCTAGCCTTGAGAATATCACCTATCTACGGAGTAATCCTGATCGGTATAGACGAGATCTTTACTCAGTCGCTTTCGGTCTCGATAGGTTTTACTTCGCTTACAGCGACCTGCGACATCACAGGTTTGGATGGCATCCAAGTTGGCACCACTCACTCTTTCGGACGAAACCCCGCCCACGTTAATTGAGTCAGTCAGCCCGAATTTTAGCATTTAATGTGCCATCTGACCCGAGCAAATGGAAGCAAGTTGCGTCTGATCGACGTATAGGAAACGAAACCATGCAGCAATAAAAGCTCAATATCGAGGCTTCCAGAAGTTGAGTTTTTAGGTGATTTTCACCTCGCGATGGCCCCACGTAGAGGCAACTGGGCACCTGTAGCTTAACAGATTGCCTTTTCAATGAACCTAGGCCGAGTAAGCAAGTAGACTCAACATACTTGCCTAATGGCTTGTGCGATGGGCCCCTTGAATTGCTATTGAATTTCGGGCCGAGACTAACCCAACGTTACGGCGTGTAGTTTGACTATCACTTGTGTAAACCAAGATTTGAATGTATCTCGTTGAAATTTTGGAACTCCCTGCTTCAACCTTTTTGCCTTTTCCGTTTCAATTTCGACTAAGCACTCATCCTATTCTTACAAGATGCCGCAAGCCTTTCCAATACGCCCAAGTGCCATTCAAACTCCTTCACGCTAATGCTGAATCGCCGCAGATTCCGCGTTCCTACGAATATTGCCCCCTCGATATCCTCTGGCAGGATATCTCTGAAGACCGTGCACATCGTCGCCACTCGAAGGATGATGACCATGGTAAAGGTCCTGTGGAGATGTCAGAAAAGGGTCTTTACAAGAAAAGAGCTCTGCAGCAATGGCGTTCACACTTACACCATCCCACTGGCGAACAAGCCAGTAAGACTGTTAGCAGGGTCAATGTCGAAAACATTGATGAACCCTTTGCAGCCCTCCAAGCAGAGTCGACACCGCTCTAATATCGCCTCTCGACACGGGTGCGTCTCAAAATGCGCCATGTTCAACATCACGTACTCGATAAAAGGGCGATGAATGATGTACTGTCCGGCATAATACCGGCCCTTGAGCCTAAGCACGTTCCACGGATTATTCCCCAATTCCTCAACTCTGATGATACCCGGCGTCATGGGCGAGCTCGCATTCTCCAGTTGCTGCCCGGGCGTCCTTCTAGGCTGACTCGTGAGTAAGAAATCAGGCAGGTTGCGATACAGCGCGCCGTGGTATGACCAGAGATCCTCCGTGATACGCAGTAGCCAGTTTGCGTAGTCAGTCCGGGTCATACGGAACTGGTCTTTGCTGTCAAAGACTACGCTGTTGACCCGATTGAGGAAACGCCTGATGGCCGCGTTGGTACTGATCTGGAAGGCGACTAGTTCCTCGGTTCTGTAGAGGGACGTCGAAGCCGGACTCGTCACTTCGGCTTCCGGTGTCGTCTGGGCCATGTTGAAGTCTTTGTGCTGTTTGGGTGTTTCTGGGGCTGGGTAGGGCACGACATCTTCATATCTCGCTATACCTGATGGTAATGTAATCGATATCTCAGACACAAAGTCCCCCTCGTAAATCAAAGCAACCCAGAAGAGTCTGCGGAATGCATCTGGGAATCTCTCGCTGTTGTCCCCGGCTATGGCAGCTCTGTCTTGTGTCAGTAAAGACTCTCTTCCTATGATGCAATCGGGCCTCTCTCAAACTACCTTCTCGTTAGGGCCTCGCACTTCACGGCGGTTGCATGTGCCCAATGGAAAGAGTCTGCCACTCTACCTTTCGCATTCATATGTAAACTGTAGACTGTCAGTTTCGATAAATAATTTTTTCAGAATGTGGGCGCGCTTCTGACCTTGCCAACATTGTACATTGTGCTGCTTCGAGGCTGATTTCAGACGATATGAACCCTAACAACAGCCGCGCTTTCCGCCACAGCTGTTCATCGATCCCTGGAAAGTCCCCAATGATGCTGGAGCTCACGGATCTTTGACGAAGACCTCCTTCTCGGCCTGCTCTTTCATCTAATGAGATACAGTATTCCTCAGTGCAGACAAATGACCCCATGCATAGGACCAGCAATAGTAAGCAGTACCGAGACGGCGCAGTAAGGGGTATGACTACACTTCCAGTCTTCTCCGACGCGACTATCTCGTTGAAAGTCTGAATAATATCCTCTGGGGAGAGAAGAGGAAAGAAGATGTTCACTTCGGCAAAGTACTCGTGAATCACCTCTCGATATCGATCAGCGGCATCGATGGAGACTGGGAGACTTCGATCTTGGAACAATCTCCATGACTCTGGAGGAAAGGTTGCAGAGTCTGTAGTTGCCTTTTCGCAGAAGAAGATGTCAGTTGCTTCCGCTGAGCGCAGTCCTCCTGGAAACGCTGGCCGTACTGGTGGTGGTTCCATTTCCGTTTCTGATAGCAACTGCTTTACTATCGGCCACTCAAAAACGTGATTCGCATTCGCTGTATGGGATAGAGGAATTGGAATTTGAGCATCTCCCTCGGGGTTCCTCGTATGAACTGCACCCACTTGATCTCTCAAAGACGTCGAATCGAGAGCTGCATCGGGCTGTGTACGAGGCCCCGATCCCGGAGTAGTCGCATGCCGTGTAACCTGAGGTGACGGCGTATCTAAAGACGGCCGCGAATCTTGCTGGATCTGCTGCTGCTGTTGTCCAGAAAACACTGGCGAAGAAAGCAAACGATCTTCCAGCATCTGGATACGCTCTAACAAGATCCTGGTATTCTGCTCGATGCGCGGCTGGTTCGAGTCGCGGTAGACGCATTCCACGTTCTGGGTCACGCAGAGGCTGCACTTCGGCTTGGCAGCGTCGCATCGCGTCTTACGGGCCCGGCAATTGGTGCATGCCTGCCACACTCGGCGCCGTGCCGGGAAGTAATGGGCCGCGGAGAAGGAAGAGGAGGGCACGGAGTCGTCCATGATCGGCCGCCCGCCGGAACACTCCGAGGTGAGTTATGCGATTTGCGGAGATGGAACTGGGAGGTGTGAAAAGGGGAATTTTTGGCCGGGTTTAACTGGTTGGGGCCACAGTTTAAGTGACTTCAGGGGGCATTGCGTGGGAAATTTCCCCGCTACTCCCCGGCTGTCCTAGCGCCGCCGAGCCCGGGATCTTGCCGGAGGTCTGTCCGAACTATCGGGACTAGGGCCAGGCCTCTGTCGCGTGAGAATTCATCTGGGGATGATGAACCGCTTAAAGTAGGTACTGTAGTCTGTGGAAGTGATGGACGGTTTCGGTAAAGAATCATGTTCCAATGAGCGAGGACCTTGTCTTGGAAGCCGCCGATAGAGTCTGATTTCGAGGTTTGCAAGCAGAGAAGACCTCAGTCTTGAGTTCAAGTAGCTGATGCATCCGATATGAGAGACACTATATGTGAATCGAAAGAAAGCGAAGCTATGTTAATCATTCTATGGAATCAAACAACGCCAGTTTATGCAATCCAGACACCCGTATCTCTGTGACTTCAAGGGTTTTGAAGGTATCGTGATCATGAGGCAACAGCAATGGGAGTTGCAGTAGCCTGAGCTAGACTCTTCTTCTTTTCATCCGGCGCCAGCTCAAAAACGCCAACTCCAGACACCGTCTCTTTGGGCTTTCCTAATTCCTTCTCAACCTCTGAGGGAATCACCTTACCATCCAACCTCTTGTCTCCAGGCGCCATGGGCGCATAGAGACTCAACAGCTCATTCAGCCTCTCGCGCTGAACGCAGTTCTCGTACTTCCAGCTGGCAGCAAGCTCATCAAGCTCCTCGAATGTCTTGTTCTTGAAATAATCGGCCCATTCAGGAATCATGTACTCCGTCATGGTGATGCCGCGGATACCGCGGAACACGTGCATGTGCATGCGCCACTGCCACGGGTACTTCTTGTTGTATTCTGCGGGGACATTGTCTTCGAACCACTTGTGCAGGGGGCCGAAGAGATTGGGTTGGAGATGTGCGTCGTCGTATGCCCAGCTGTCGACGGCGAGGTCGCGCTTCTTGCGGATAATTGGGCCGAGGAGCCTCAGCCAGGCGGAGTCGGGTGATAGGTAGGTCATGCCCATGACGTTGACGTCCTTGTAGGCCCAGATACTCCATGCTGTGAATAAAGCAGTTAGCAAACGTTTACAGAACGCGCGTCATGAGTTGTCTCACCAATGCCTTCGTCGGTATAGATGGCCATTTGCTTGTCGAGCATCTTGTACCGTTCCTCGTTGTGCTCCTCGAAATCCGGATTATACTCCTTCCGTTCGTAAATCGGACCAAATTCACCTAGATCCTGATAGTCAGTAGCTTATCTGTCAGGGCCAAAGGTTCTCCATACCGTTCCAGATCGGCACATTATGCTCCTTCATGAATGCAACCTTACGGTCGTACATTTGGCGAATATAGGCATCCTGATCTTGCAAGCCTTGATACCTGCCAATGCGGTTCGGGAAGCCAAATCCACAGTAATCGTGGACCGCGTAGACAGAGTTATCAAACACCTTTGTGAAGCCGGAGAAGTCCATGCTGAAAGTGTTGCCCTCCAGCCAGAGAATGTGTTCGGGGTCAATATCGCGGATGGCGGGGACGATGCGGTCGTAGAAGGCGAGCAGACGTGTCCACTCGACATCTGCGGGTTCGTTGAGGGGGTTGTATCCTGCAATCCACGGGTTTCCCTTGTATCGCTTCGCAATCACCTGCCACAGGTTGATGACCCTGTCTTGAAAATGCTTGTGATCCCAGAAGGCGGCGTAACCGGTCGGGTTGTCGGAGTGCCAGTCCTGGTTTTGACCGCCAGGGGCAGAGTGGAGGTCGAGAATTGTGTAGATGTTATATTTAGCGCACTACGAGTAGAGAGATTTGTCAGGGAGAAGAAGGATGGGAGAAGCATGGGAGCACCGTACAATTTCAATAGCGCGATCAAGATGCTTGAAGCCCTCCTCCTTGATCACGAAGGGATTCATGTCATCTTCGAAATGGTGATAGTTGAAGGACAAGCGAATGCAGTTGAATCCAATTGAGGCAAGAAACTCGGCGTCCTTCTCGGTGAAGAAGTATTCAAGGAATTTGTCGAAAAAGAAGTCACACTTCTCCTTGCCTAGCACCTTCAACAAAGCGGCTCGAATTTGGTGTTCACGGCCGGGAAAGCCGTTCATGAAGTTCTCCATCAGCATCCAGCCACCGAGGGCCGTCTGTTTTGCCATCAACAGTCAGTATTTGGCCTTCGGGCGCTTGCATGCAGGAAATCAAGTCGGGGTCACTTACGCCGCGGAGAAGGACGGGCTTGCCCTCAGCATCAATAATGCTGGAGCCTGACGTTCTCAGGATTCCGTTTGACATTGTTGCAGTCAGATGAGTGCCTCAGCTATCGTGAAGTTGAACAAAACTGAGCTAGGATGGCAGCAACAAGGGACAGAGACCAGACAATCCCAAGGGTAACTCTAGCATCTAAATAGGACCGTTCACATGTGCTCAACAACACCAAGCCAGAACTTCGTTGGGTCCATCGCTCGCAATGCGGAGTATGCGCATCAGGTCCACAGTCTGTAAGTTCCCATGACGTCCCATAATCGTCTTTGAGCAGCTCGTAGATACGTGTCGCCGAAATAAGAAACGCGACCGAAAGTGCCCCGCGTTGTCGGGGCAGACTTCGACGCTCCCCCGGTCCCCACGTTCCCGACTCGGGGGACTCATTTGGCAGCCCCGTATAGCCTAGACGACGGACGACATCAGCCGGAGGTCTCAAATGACGCTAGGGGCAAGGTTTTGAATGCCCCGAAGATGGTCAGACCAGGTCGGGGCAAGCATGTAGTTCCCCCGAGGTCCTATGATTTGTCAATCTTGGTAGAAAAGAGGACCCAAGAATCTCATGTATTCTCCACACTATCATCGGCCGACGCTACACAACTTGTGTTGTTCCGACTACCTTAGTTTACACGGTTTCACTGCCCTCCATTTTATGGAAACAATCAGACGAGTCAGGCGAGCTTGACTTCATCCGCAACTCCTAATTGTTCGTTTCCCCATGGACACACGTCCAGACACCTTCATCTCGTGATGCCCCGGATGTGGGGACCGAGTTTGCTTTTACCCCAACCCCCGGATCTTCTCCGCATCCCATCATCCGACCTGCCAACCCCTGTCTTTGTCTCGATAGTTCTCAAGCCCTCCTCGGCAGGCAGAGCCTTCGCGTCCCAGGCGTACGGTCCTACCATCATTATCATGAGTGGGTGTGAAGGGCTAGCTTCCCGCGCCAATAATAATATTGCTCGATCGGAATTCTTCTTCGCCTAAGCCCATATGCCGACCTCGTAACGCCGTCATTTAACCAGACTGCTTTTCACCAACCCAACGAGCAGAACCTGACAAAGTCTCACAGCGTTCCAGGAGAGTTGTTGACATCGTTCCACCACGGCAGGTCATTCTGGCCGCGCGCATATAAGGAGACGCAAGATCCCAACTCTCTGGTTTCGGTTGTCAATTCAGAAGTTCATCTCCACTGTTGAGCCAACCTTGCCACCTTTCTCCTGGCCGAGCTTTTGTCAACTTCTCTGTTACTCTACGGCAGTGTCAAAATGAACTTTCTCCGCCAACGCCTTCCTGCCCCGAGGCAAGATCAGCAAGCCCGACGAGCTCGCCAGCAAGGCGGACCGGAGGCGGCGAGCGAGAGCTACCAACCCTCGCGCATCGCGCAACTCGCCCAGGAGTCTCCGACCTGGTACAAGTCCGCCGCCCGCCGAAAGCTCTACTTGCTCCTCTTCCCCGCCGCTGTCGTCTCGTACGCCACGAGCGGCTACGATGGCTCGATGATGAACTCCCTCCAAACGGTATCCTACTTTGACGACTTCTTCGACAACCCGCGCGGCGCGGTCCTCGGCTTGATGAGCGCCATCATGGCTCTGGGGAGCATCTGCTCCACGCCAATCGCTCCCTGGGTCGCTGATAAGTTTGGACGACGATGGGGTATCACGACGGGAAGCTGTATCATGATCATTGGTGCGATTTTGCAGTGCGAGAGTACCGCGTTTGCCATGTTTGTCGTGAGCAGATTCATCCTTGGATTCGGGTTATCGTTCGCGACGACTTCGGCGCCGAGCTTGGTTAGTGAGCTGTCGCATCCTAAGGATCGAGTCACCATTACAGCTATCTGCAACACCTGGTATGTCCTGTCCATATTGATGTGTTGAAAACGATGAACATCAGGGACTGATTGTGTGAACTTGACAGTTGGTACATCGGTAGCATTGCGGCAGCTTGGATCACATTTGGCACTCGAAACATCCCAAGCACCTGGTCCTGGCGAATCCCGTCTCTTCTTCAAATGGCACCTAGTGTGGTTCAGCTCGCGGCCATTTGGTTTGTTCCCGAGTCTCCACGCTGGCTCATTTCACATGATCGTGGAGATGAAGCGATGGAGGCTTTGAAACAATACCACGGTGAAGGCGAGGAGACGGAGTTAGTCAGATTGGAGTTTGAAGAGATCAGAGCGGCTATTGATAATGAGAAGAGTAAGCCAACGAAGCCCCTGAATCATTATGGCACCTACTAATCGCGTTGAAGGGCTTGGAAGCACTACTTGGGCATCCATGGTCAAGACCAAAGGCAACAGATACCGCATGTTCCTTGTTGTTTGTAAGTGACCTAAATCCGGAGTCTTTGGTGTCGCCTGATAGTGATACTTACATTTGACATAGGCATGGGATTCTTCTCTCAGTGGTCCGGTAATGGACTGATTGCTTATTGTGAGTACCTTCGCACTCTCTTTCCCTACCCTATCGCAGTGTCTGGAAACTAAGTAGATCAGACCTTTCGAGAATCATGGATACAGTCGGCATAACAAACAAGAACACCCAAGCTCTGGTAAACGGCCTCCTCAACATCTGGAACTTCGGCCTCGCCCTGACCACTGCATTCTTCGTCGAACGTATTGGCCGCCGACCTCTCTTCCGTATCTCGACCTGCGGCATGCTCGTAGTCTTCATAGGCTGGACCATCGCCTCGGCCCGTTTTGCCGAGACTAGTGCCAGCTCTGCCGGCATCGCCGTCATGGCCCTAATCTTCATCTACCAAATCTTCTACTGCATCGCCTTCTCGCCCTTGCCGGTCGCATACTCCGTCGAGGTTCTTCCGTACTCCATTCGCGCCAAGGGCATGGCAACATATGTCTTCTCAACCAAGGCTGCCGTCTTCGTCAACCAGTACGTCAACCCCATTGGCATTCAAAATATTGGGTGGCGCTTCTATATCGTCTATGTTTGTATCTTGGCTGTGGAGGCTTGCATCGCGTATGGTTGGTTCTTGGAGACTAAAGGCAAAGCTTTGGAGGAGATTGCTGTCATCTTTGATGGCGAGCAGGCCAATGTTCGAATTGCTGAGAATGGGAAGGGGGACGGGCCCATTGACGTTGAGGAAACCGAGCATGCAACTTCAAAGGTTTGATATGAGTAAAGTACCTTTAGGTGTGGGCACATGATAAGTCTTAAAGGATCACGAAAAGGATAGGTATCAGGTGACAAGGAGGTCACAAGCAGAGGACCTTACAACATATGAAATGCTCTGAATGATTGTGCTCTTAAATTCTCCCGTGACTTATCGACTTGAGCTGAGAGAGTGATGTGAGCTTCAAACGCCCAGATTGGTCAAACACGGAATTAGTCACATGAACTTGAAGCCATCCACCTGGCTACTGGGAATGTAGGTAAGGCTGTGTACGGGCAACGTTCGGATCTTAGGCTTCGGCTTTCTCCATAGCTCGCAGCTGTCTCTGTCGAAGCCTACATTCAGGCCCTTTTGGGAAACAAACCAGCTAGTAAAGTAGAGGGTCAATCTCCCATCAAGTAGATCTCTTATGATTAGTTGGTTATTGGCATTTCTCTTCCAAAAGTGCCTCGGGGTTAGTCAGCTCTAGATCGAAGTGCAAGAAAAGGGTAGGGATAAGCTGTTAGATCATATTGTTACCAGTCAACATAACTAAAAGCCATTAGGTATCAGACCTTGGCCATCTCCATCCAACTTATATCTACGCCCAAAATTCAGTAAAACAGTTGATCTGGCTACGCGTGGGTTCACTTACTCCGGCCAAGACATACCCGAGCTCCGGATCCGAATGCGAAGAAGAACAATCTGTATATGATTTCATTAGTACTCGTAGATGTAAAATCGGCTGATTGGGAAGACATACGCATGTCGCCATTGTCCTCTTTGAGCCATCTCTCGGGGCGGAAGGAATAGACGTCTTGGCCATATACCTCCTTGCTACGGTGGACAGCCCAAGGGTTGACTTCAACGACAGACTAAATGCCCTCTAGTCAGCAACGGCACGAGGGCTTCAAAATTATGGTCTTAATCGGTCATCAAGAAGCACATGAAGAAATTACTAACACCGGCGGGCATATGGTAGCCGCAAATATCATAGCCACCTTGGGGAACTACACGAGGTAGAGTCATGCCGACGGCAGGGTGGACCTAACTTCTCTAATCACGTCTGCAAAGACGTATCTTCAGTAAACCAGGCTTGAAGAGAGGTTTTAGGAAGCAAACGCACCAAAAGCGTAGAGTTGAACCCAGTTGCCTAAACCCACCGTTCTTCCAAGCATATCGTCAAGTTTCTCGAGTAACACCTGGATGGCGCTGTCCACGTATGGCTCGAGCTCTTTCAACGATGTCATCGCATACGGGCGACTGACGAGACGCCGCTGGGCCGAATGGACTCGATCATCGCGTTCAGGTAACAGGTCAGATTTGCGCCTTCCCTGCCAGACGCTGTAGAAGTCGGACTGGCGGGACTTGGACCCTGGGCCTAAATGCAGTCACATGTAATGTTGACCCCTACACGGACATCGTCCGGCTCCTACTGTAGATTGTCTTGATGGACGTGAGATCTGATATGCTCCTGCTATAGGAGGCCCCAAAATTTAGCTTTGAATTTGGAACTCTACACCATCTATTGCCTGCGATACTCACACTTCGCTTGACGCAATGTGCACAACCTTGCCCTGAACCTCATGCAGGCGCATCGTCATAACGTGAAGATCGCCAGTATATGAGTGGTACGCAAGCCATACTCTCGAAAGACTGGCCCAGCAGGGCTCGGAGACTTTGGTGAATGGTCATAGGACACGCTGGTAGAGGAACCAAGAGAGTAACAAGACTACCGGTGCTATTTGAAAGGCCACCAGTAGATACCCTGACTGTTTCTGGTAGTTTAAGATGCTCATGGTGTAAGATTCTACTACGGAACGGCCGAAATCAATCCCACTGATGGCAGGAAGATGAACTAGTAGATATTATATCAAATGGCTCGGGCCTCTCCTGCACTTCCCGACTTGACATCGATGCACGTGAACGGCTACAGGCAGGTTAGAGTTTGGATGTCGCACATCTTTCTCGGGTTATCCGGTGGCTCCCCACAGAGCGTTCATGCTCTACGAGGGCGATCGCGGTGATATCTTGCGGGGTAAAGCGTGTCGCACCGAAGAGACGGAAGAGATGGAAACACTAGCAAACCAAAAGGGTTGTCCGAGTACATCGCGACACATGGGCACGGGAAGCTGGACAACAGCTATACTTATTACTCCGGTCTTCTTCCGTGCCGGCCCCGCCCCATCTTAAACTGTGCCGGGCCAGACCTCTTCAACAATGGCAAGCAAATGGGATATTGACAAGGTAAATACAGTAACAAGATGTATCTTTGTCGAACTTCATGGCCAATGGAGAATGGTACAAAACAATACAGATGCCTACAATACCAACGTGCTGAGGACATCCACCATTGAAGATCAAGACCAATCTTGACCATTAACGACACAGTATGGTGCTAGTGCTCCCTCACCAATCTCCCCAGCTTCACATGGCTTGACACAGCCCTCATAGCGTGTGCAAATGACCCCAATCTTTGCGAGACAGTAGTTGGATAGAGTGGCAGTGTCACCATAGTTCTGATTGACTCCCACTGATATACGTTAGCATCGTAGACTTTGAAAGATGTGCTTGTATCATAGCTTGAAACTATTATTGAATATGACTTACTAACTACTCCTTGTATCCCCACAAAGTTGGTAATGTTGACGTGTCGCTGGAACTGCTGGCTACAGTTGCCACATGAGCGGTAGAACTTTCCGAACTTGTTGGCGTAAAAGCCATCGATGTGCAGCCATCCCTCACCTATGAGTCAAAGGAATTAGTGTTTTGGAAATTAGGTGAAGTATTTTGAATCTTGGTTGTTTGCACCCACCGTTGTGCTGAAAGACTTTGTCACTGGCCTCTTTCGCCCCTCCGCCCCTGACGTATCTTGGGCCGGTGCCCTTGAACGTCGCCGCATCCTCACAAACATCCTCCCACCAAACATTCTCGATATTACAGGGGCCGCGGCAATGTACACCCTCAGCTTGAGCGGGGCCAATGATGGCATTTCTTAATGTCGCCCCGCTCTCCAAGATGAAGACGGCAGCAGCCTCATCTTGTTCGGCTTGGCCTTTGCAGTCGCCAGAGCTACCTTTGCGATCAAAAGAGCCATCTTGCCGTCGAAAACCGCGTTGACTGGGATCAACGAGGCAGTTGGGAATGAGGTGCTTCCGGTCGCTGTGGGCCATTTCGTGTTGACCGACGGATGTGGGCATGATACGCCTCCAGAGGCTTGCCATTTTATGGTGCTTGTTAAAGTCGTTCGCGTCGAGGTAGTTTTGGTAGACTGAGCAGATGCAAGTCCAATGGCCAGTACCAGCCCGGAAATGGTGTTTGAAAGCATGCTGGTTGGTCTTGTCTTGGTACGTGGATTGAAGTCTAAAAAGATTTCAAGTCTGTGATGATGGCGAATCTCAGCTTCACTATTTATAATCATCAACTGATCAGAATTCTACAACAAGAAATCTATGAAGTGCGACTATGTCATGAGTGGGAAGTTGGTGGCAATGCCTTGCGTTTTTCAATGAATTCTAGTCGTGGTAAATCCAGCATGAGTTTCTCCGCCAAGACTTGCAGACGCCCTATAAATCCAAGAGCTCACTTCCAACTTTTTGCTGCATCGATGGCTGCCGAGACTCTATGCAGCATCTAGCTGAACTCCCATCTCCTGACGGCCTAGCTTGTTCCACCAATCCCACCCAGATTAGGAAGCTGGGGGAAACCCAACGCAGCGCTGAAGCAATGTCTTGCATGTTATGTCCATGCAGACAAAAGGCTTGTTTGATCGCTTCAATGGAAGAGCGGAACATTGCGGATGGGTTTAATTACATGTCACTAGAAGGCCGATTGAGGTCCTGCTTGTCTAAGTGTCTTTACAGAGCCTTGCCATACTCGACTAATCTTGTATGCTATTTTTGTCATACTCGTTCTATGCTGTTGTTACATCGTTCATCTGAAGGCTGCATCAGACCACGCATTCCAATGCTCAAAATTGAGGAAATTCCAGACAACATTCGGGTCCACCAAATTTGCATCGAAGTCCCCAGGAATCATGGCGTCTCCAAGCTCGGTATCCCCAGGATGAAGACCCATACCATCTGACATGAAGGCTGGGGAAGTCTGCATTAGTTGGCTAACATCTTCATGCATCCTTAGAGTAGTCTCGGCTTCCGTAGTCACGCTCGTCTGACGCTGCTGTACGGAATGAGTCTTTGCCGCGACGTTGAGCAATTCTTTAACGATATCGGCGCATCGTCTGGCTACTGCGAGCATCTTCATTGCTTTAAAGATGTCCAGACTCAGCTCGATGTTTTCCATGACCTCTTCGGCGGGGAATGGGCAGATGTTGGAGATGAGGACATGGAGGAGGACCATGCAGGCATCGAGTAGGTACATGCAGTTGTACCACCTACTTTTGATTAGCTGTCTCCAGGTTTGAGGTCCAATAGGAGCGAAGGTGTTACCATGTCCTGAAGTATGGTCGATGTAGATAGCTCGTGTGCATAAACTTGATGGTCTCGGTGGCAGCTTTGACGCACGACGTAACGTGTCGCGAGACCGTGTTCCGGTCCGCTTCTTGTGTCTTTGATATGATGAACTGTCGATGGAGAAGAATCCTGGCGTTCAGGAACCCTGTCCACGCGTATTAGTATCGTGATTCGGCTTGGTGAGATCGCGAAGCATACGTAGCTTGAGAACGGTCTTTTGCTTCATGGCAAATTCGCTGTCTTCCAGGGATGATGTATCAAAACGGAGCTGTCTTGGTAACCCAGACTTCCAGTCATCCAACTCTCGATCCAGGTTGAGTGCAGTCTGTGATAGCCTTTGGAAGGATGTATGACTACTGTGCAGACCCAAGTTGTCCGTCATCCACATGAGAATCTTGGCTAGGTCAACCATAGGGTTGATGAGACAGTACGCCGAATTGGGGAAATGCTTCACTACAGTTCAGTTGCATGCAACTAATCTTCTGAGAAGAGTCTGAACTCACAGATGTCTTTGGGAACGGTATCGAGTAGGAGCTTGGAGCACGTAGTCCTGATTGGCGACCAGCAGAAAAGCACATTTCGCTAAATGGTCAGCGTCCGGACTCAAGTAACCAAGCAAGGTGCGCAACTTACATCTCGTGTGAGTAGAGCGACCTAAATACGTTAGCACTAGGCACAGAGCGTCTTTATGGTCACCCACCACCAAAGCAAGCTTTCTGGGCTTGTCTCAGAACGGGTATTAGTCGGGATACCCATGGCCGACGCAGTTCTTATCGCCATGCCGCTATACATGTAGCAGCTGTGAGGTTTCAGCGCGTTTTGACCGAATACCGACTATAGTATAGAAGTCAGTCAACTGGCTCCGAAGACCTCCATGTTATCAAATTGCCCAGAACTGACCATGAGAAACAGTGTCTGCGCAGTTTCAAGCGAACTCGACTCGCAAATATCTTCAAGGTGAAGCCTCGACCTTTCAAAGAATCTTCTTGCCAGACGAATAGGTGGGTAGAGTGCCTCTTCGTCGCTGGTTTGTCCAGTGCGATCCAAGAACTCTTTGGTGTGGTCTTCCATGAGTAAGGACGTCTCACCGGCGGTGATGGCCCCGATAGCAATGACAACATTATAAAGTGCCAAGAACCTTGCCTCACGGCGCATTTGCGAAGAGATCATTATATCTGGCCTTGAAAGCCTCGACCATATTTCTTCCTCGCATCTCTTGAGAAAGGTCATCTGTTCAAGGATTGGGTGGATGTTGTGCAGATTTTGGAAGTACAGTCGAACACATTCCCGCTCAACCTCCGTCGCGAACGCGGCATCCACCGCGCTGAGAAAGACGTCGGCAACAACTCCTTGCTGGTACGACTCCCTTCTGCCGCCATTACTCTGCGGACTTGCCTTTGCAAATTGGTTCTGGCCGAGGATGCGAGAGTCCGGGGGCGTCGAGTAATCCGAACTGTGCAGGAGATTTACAATGGAGCTTTGCTTCCGATGCGTGCCGATTTCCGGTTGTTTCTGTGTGTTCGCCCGAGAGCGAAGCCGGGCGAGGAAGTAAAAAGTTCCCGTTGGTCCGTAAAACTCGGCACCCTCGGTGTGCTCGTTGACCTGACCAAGACCGTCCACCTCTTGTTCCGAAGATGTTGATGAGCCTCTGTCCATGCGGCTAGGCTCCTGTGGGTTCAGCTGAATTGGGTTCTCGTGCTTGATTGGTTCATCTAGGCTAACTGGCGACGGATGAAGATGCTCAGGCAATGACGGCTGTGGCTGGGGTATCAGCTGAGGTTGAGGCTGCAAACGTTGTTGCAGGCGGCCGGTGGGATCGTATGAGGATGACCTCTTACTCGGTCTGTGGGATGAGTTAGCCCCAATCAGGACTCATTCTGGTCCTATTACATACGAGTCTTCCGGTCCTTCTTTGTACGAGCACGAGAATTCGTGTCCTTTGGGGGGCCATTTGTCAATCATCAACAGGTTCTATCCTAAGGAAAACGACACACTCACGAACACAGTTGGAGCATGGCGAACTACCATCACACTGAAGGAGATTAAGTCAACATGGCTGTTCGTTGAAGACATCATTAGAGCTTTACCGACCTTGACTTTACGAGCTCGACATGTACCACAAGCTATCGGCGCACGAGGCCTTCGCTTCCTCTTGAGATTATTACCAGAGTTCGGGTTGTCCGAGGATCCAACGGCTGTAGTGGGGATTTCCGTCTCCATTTTGATAAGAGCACGAAAGCGCAGAGATTTTGGAACTTTTGGTGAACGTTGAGAGAGGAAACTACAAAAAAAGAAACGCGAACCATGAGCGGGGCTTCGGGGCTATGAAGCTACAGCTCACTAGCACTGCGGGCTGAGCGGAACGATCATCTGGGACAAGCCATGCAGGGGGTTGGTCTTTGAGGGGTGTTTGTGAGACAAGGAAGCTTCGGTCAGAGTTTCTGAGCAGTGAGAGGATCGCAGCGCGTCATGAACGTCGATGTTGCTCGGACGCTACCCCAGAAAATTGGACGAATCGGAATGACTCGTTCGGAGCCAACGTTTCCAGCGAATAGGAGGCCGTCCGTCGGAAACCGTTGCACTTCGGGATGAAGCCTCCCAGCATATCCCATCGGCGTTCATCCGCAATAAAGACGACCATATTGTCGTCTTCCCCCATTTATTTAGCAGACATAGTTCTGTCTTTTTAACAAACAGTCTGGTTGGCGGCAATGATGCTTGAAATTGCCCAGCCATCGCGCCCTGAGGGCGCTTACAAGGTTGACTTCTCATCTTGTGATTTGAAACCAGACAACGTTCAAGTGGGAGATGTTTCAGTCGAGGTACCTGTTCTCATTGCAGGTGGTGGTCCGACTGGTCTGTTCACAGCATACATGTTGTCTAAACATGGTGGTAAGTGATAATACGGAGGCCTGTGCATCTGTGGGCTCTCTTAATCCGACGGCGTAGAAAGCTAACAGGTCACAGTGAAATCGCTTCTCATTGAGAAGTATCCTGAAAGGCTGGCTGCTCCTAAAGCCCATGCGTTGAGCCCCAGAACCCTTGAGATATGTAGACAGTATGGACTGGATACGAGAGCGATACGCAAATTAGGTTCGCCTCGTGATGATGCCTACTGGGTCAATTTCTTGACCAATCTCACTGGTGAGAAGATTGGGGTTCTGCCGTACGAGCGGATGGATCCTGGTGTCCTAGATAGTACACCTGAGGTATGAAAGCAATTGGGTGCTCGTCTCTCATATGTTGTCTTCGAGGTCACGCTAACAGGCCTTATATTGAAGATGATCCACAACATTCCGCAGCCAGATTTTGAAAAGTTCATCGCACAACGTTTAGAACATGACCCGAACGTTGAAATTCGCAGGGGTGTTGGTTTCGTTTCGTGTGAGCAGGTGAGATCACCAAGATCAATGGTTGCGGGAGCCCCATGCGCGAGATAATACTAATCGCTCTGCAGCGAGATGACAAGTTGACCACCGTTGTTGAAGAGCGCGCCACGAGACGTCGTTGGACAATCAACTCGAGGCACGTTATTGGCTGCGATGGAGCAAAGAGCCAGGTTCGTCGATTTCTTGGGATTGAGACTGAAGGAGAAGATGGATGTGAGTGTTCGCCCGCTGTCTTTGTCAATCAGTTGGGCTTACAAAGAGAATTTTAGACGAGACCATGATGACGATACACTTCAATGCAAATCTTCGGCCAATCGTGAAGAATGGCGTTGGCATGCTGCATTGGATAGCTGATCCTGCTTGCTCTGGTTTCATCATCGCATATGATCTTGATGGAAACCAAGTTTTGATTAGCAACTTCGATGTGAGTCTGAGCACTTTCGTGATTCCAATGGCTGCTTTGTTTGCTGACAATGTCTGAACCAGTCGAAGAGACACCCTGTAGAATCATGGACAGAAGAACTCGCACATGCCACAGTGTCGGCTGCGATAGGACAAGATATACCGATCCAGATTATGAGTTTCAGACCATGGGTTTTGAGTCGCAAGGTTGCGAAGGAGTATCGTCGTGGAAACGTGTTCTTGTACGTGGCATCTTCGAGCTTCCCTGTATATCAACAATGCATTAGAACTAACTATGATCGGCACAGAGTCGGCGATGCTGCACATTCCTTCCCTCCAACTGGTGGCTTGGGTCTCAACTCTGGGCTAGCAGACGCGCACAACCTTGCTTACAAGGTCGCCGCAGTGCACCAGGGTTGGGCAAACCCACGCATTCTCGACACTTATGAGACTGATAGACGGCCCATTGCCGTCATTGCAGCAGCTCAGAGTGTCAAGAATGGAAAATCAATCTTTTCTTTCCTTAAGGCCATCGGAACAGCAGATGTAGAAGACCTTGACGAGGCCCGAAAACGGATGTACGAAGCTATCCACGATCCGGCCAAGCAGGACTTGATAGCCGAAAAGGTCGAGGGTCAACGTGAACACTTTGACAATGTAAGTCCGACGAAGCCCACAGGTATCTCTGTGCAGTAGCTCACAAGATTCTTCACAGCTTGAAATTCACATTGGGTATGTGTACGGCGACAAGAAGCCGCCTGCGAACGCATCGGATTTCATACCCAAGTTCATGGTCGGAGCCAGATTACCACATGCCTGGATCAAATTTACCGGATCAAATGATTCATACGAGCTTCTTCAGCAACCTATCGACACATCATATGTGAAGGAACTATCATATGAGCGAATCGAGGCTCAACGATTCTCCACACTCGACCTGGCGAAGGCGGGTACCTTTGCTCTCATCGCGCCTTACCGCGCAGGCTGGAGCCAACGTTTTGAGCATTGCAGAGAAATTCTTGGAACGGGTTTGGCTTCTCGTCTCCAACTTTGGGGCGCCGATAGCGATTTCAGCTTTTCTTACGACAATCACCGAAGACTTTTCGAAGCACAAGGTGGATTCTCCCAGGGCAGGGCGGTCTTAGTAAGACCGGATCAGCATATCTTGGGCTGTTTGGGATCAGATGCCTCAGCAGAAGACATCATTAGTCTCATTGCAAGCCATCTCGACATAGAGCTTTAGAAGAACATATGATGAATAGCCTTAGTCCAATCACTGGTTAGATCGGATAAAATTACGCACAACGAGAATGCTGCAACGGCTGTTGGGGATCGCTCCTTATACTGCATGCTTGAGTTATGGAGCTACAATCAAGATTTGTTTATTTGAGATGACTTTAGATCATCACTGTTGGACTCGTTCATTTGGTACATCGAAGTGTTCTGCCCTGGGTATCCAACTGCCAACAGATATCATACTCGCTGAGCATGTGTAAGGAGTAAGCTAGCTTGTATTCTTGCACTGCGATATTCGCGATATTCCAGTAACTGTTCGTACATTCTGACCAAACAGACGTCGAATTAGATGCGATTGGCGGTTGACCAGCGGACAGCTGGTGCCGTTAGTTAACTTCCGACTTCAACGACTGGCATATCTCCAAGCGTCGATGAGCTCGCCTGTGAATCAAAGGAGCGTCTGTTATTTGAGCGCTGAGCTATTACTCGCTTCGTTGCCTTGGGAGCAGGAGAAAGCGAGCAAGAGAAGCGTCTGTTTGAGCTGTAAGATTATGTTGGTCAGCCTGAGTCTCACCAAGTAACCTGGGCATGATCCGTTGCACAAGACCTACGTGGGTGCCATAATTCTGATAGTTAATTTGTCTATTTCAAGATTAAGTTGATAGGTCGGAATTGGGAGCCATGGATACTTTTGATATTGGGTGCTTGTATTGACCATGTCCGAAATTTGTGAAGTGTGGGATCTGCTTGTGAGAACTGGAGCCAAGGGAGTCTATGAGAAGCTAAGTCAGGACTGCCTTACGACGTCACAAGCGGAAGACAGACATCATCAACGTCATCTCAAGCTTCCAACAAGAAGTAATCGTGAACATCACTTCCCCCACTGGAGCTTTTGCCTGGTCTTGGATGTTCGCTGACTGAAGATCAAGTCACCGAACGTCGTGACGCCTCGTCGCTCTTCCAGCCAAAGATGCCCACCTCAAGCCAGGCCTTATCACGAGAATGACCCAATACGACTTGCGCCTCTGAGAATGACGCGGGTTGAGCGATTTTCGGGCGGTAGTGGTGGGAGGTTCATAAGGATCATGTTTACACGGTACGGCGCAGTCCAATCACAAACACCACAACCAGGCTGATCGTCAGACCCCAGACTATTTAGGACCCTTTCTGCATCAGTCTGTCGATCACTGCACACTTATGCTTCTCATCCTAATGGTAACCCCGCCATCTTTATATTCAAATGAAGTTTACGACAAGCGGCGGGAAATCCTTCGCGACTGGGCAATTAGGCGGAACTCGCTGGAAAATTCGGAAACGATGTTGGATAACCATGTTCACATTCTTCTATTGCTGCTTCGATTGTGCTTAGCCACTTGAATCTTTCATGGTGAACTTTTGACATCATCGTGTCAGCAGACAGAACTGAATGGGGAAGCCAATTGTCAGGTGTCTCTACTGATCATTTCCCATTCAGTGCAACCTGGACTGGGAAAAGCCGAGTCCGGAGAGGGTTCCGGCGACTAGAGCACTTCACAACAATTTCAAGTTTAACTGTGTTTGACGGAATGGTGCTGTATCTGCCTCGTCTCTTTGTAGGATGCAGACTGAGAGCGATACACTTGCTGCCGTGTCTGTCTTGCCGGCCTTCCTAGACCCACATCGGACCGCCTCCGGTATTCTTCGGTCCCGATGACCCCACATTTTCTTCGCCTTTCGAATTAGTCATCCCTGAAAACTTTGCAGGCGCTTTCTAGTCCGAGAGTCCCTGCCTCGCTTCTTAGACCGGGCAACGAGAATTGAACTACAACACGGACAATAGCTTACAACACGTAACTTCTTGCACGAGAATAACTTCAAAATCGGCCATGGACCCTAAAGCTTCTACCTCGGCACCTGCCGCACCAGCGCTACCCCCAAACGTCACAATCTTCTCGCCATCCAAGCCCAGCACAGCAAAAGCCATCCTCAACGGCAGCATCTTTACACGACTCACAGCCAACGCCCAGGCCGAGCCCTCAAAGCTCGAGGCCGCTCTCAGAGACGTCGCTCGTCCCCAAGTCAACGACAGCTTCTGCTTCAGCCACCGCAATGTTGTCTTGATCTTTGACGGCGATAAGGACGGTGAGGATGCGACGGATCGGCATCACGAGCACTTCCGCCTCGTCTGCTTGGCGCTGAAGGACGCCGACATCA